CGACTGGGCGACAGAGTGAGACTCCAACTCAAAAAAAAAAAAAAAAGAATTGACTCTTGCCCTGCTTTTCCCCATGGAGGCACCTGAGGCCCCTCTTGGTAAAGATAGGTAAGTCCTTATACTCGCTCTTGCGCGCAGGCTGTGAGGCCCACTCTCTCCTGGTTTTTGGGCAGGAATGGAAGTGGGACGTGTCGGTGCTGATGCTATGGATGGAAGAGAAGGGGCTGATGGTGGCCGATGAGTCCTCCCGAGTGCCCAGCAACATCCTGCGGACACTCAAGTGGCACAAAGCAGCTGAGAGTGAGCTGCTGGCCACCCGTGGGCACATGGAGAGCCTGCAGCAGGTGGGGAACGTGGGAAAGGGGGTGCGGGGCTCCTCATCTTCACATTTCCAGCCCACACTATACCACCTGTTTTCACGGAACACATGGAAGAATCAACCTTAGTCCCCACGAAGCTAGGATCCCCAGCTGCCTCCTTTACACCACTGGCATCGCCTTGCATCGGGTCCACACCAGCCCAGAAAGCTGCTGCTGTCCCTCCCCTGCTAACTCTCCAGCAAGTCCCAGAGCCTGCCGCCTTCCCTAGAACAGTGCTCTTTCCCACCACAGCCTAGTGTTGGCTCACCCTGTGGGGATCAGAGGAAAGCCCTCCTACCTCTGACCACAGTCAAGCCACATGAGCTGCTTGTGTCCAGGTAGCCTGTGGAGCATGGCTTGTGGCCAGCCACCCATCACCTCTGCCACCTGCATCCAGCTGCTATGACTGCTTGTGGTACCAGCAGCTCAGCAAAACTCCCTGGGCTTTGTCTCCACTCCAGGTTGGGAGAGAGCTGTTGAGCGGCAGCCCCCACGGCCTTGAGGATATCCGGGCCAGGCTTCAGGGTCTGAGCAGCAAGTGGGAAGAGTTGAACCACAAGATGGCAGAACATGGGAACAAGCTCCGGCAGGCTACCCAGCAAGAGCAGCTCCTGAGGCAGCTGCAGGTACGCTGGGGAGAGGGGCAGATCCTGAGAGGGAGTCTGAGGCTGAGCTGGGCTGGGGTGGGGGAAGAGAGAAGGATGGAAGCGGGGTAGTCTAGGTGTTCTGCTAACTCTGGCGTGGGCCTGTGAAGCCCTGCCTTTGGAGGCCTCTGGCCCATCCATAGGCCAGTACAGGATTGTCTCCTGTGTACCAGTGTGTGGTCAGCACAGCTTGAATCCCCTGGGAGAGGAAGAAGCATGAGGGCATGGGGGAGGTTTGGTGGTGATGGAGACAGAGGTTCCATTGGTCCCTGGTGACCCTGGCGCTGTGAGTACTGCAGTCTCAGAGCCCAAGGAGGGCCACCTGCTGTGCTGTGCATCAAGAGCCCAACACAGCCTCCTGCCTCCCTCCCCAGGATGTGAAGGAGAAGATGGACTGGCTCGAGGGGGCCGTGCAGAGTGCAGAGACAGGGCAGGACCTGCACTCGAGCCAGAGGCTGCAGGAACAGCACCGCCGACTGGAGAGCAAGAGCCAGGCTCTGGCTGGCCAGGTGGCCGCCCTGGTCTCGCAGGCCCACTGTGTGGCCACGTCCCAGGCCATCCTGGAGGAGACCCAGAAGTACTTCCGGAGGTGGGGCCCTGCCCACTCACTCACATGTTTGTCACGTCTTTACCCCGCTGTGTGTCACTCCCCTCATATGAACTTAAGGGCCAGCAGGGCAGCACCTAAAGGACCTGGGGATGCCTAAGCTGCCTTCCCTTATGAGTAGTCATTCCCAGGGTAGGAGGGTCAGAGACCCCACAAGGCACCCTAGGCAGTACACCCCACAATCTGAAATCAGACAAATCATCTAGTACCTGGTGCCCTCCAGCAGCCTCCCTCATCAGATGAGGCTTTCCTTATTCCTGACCTTGTTTCTCATGGGTCCCTGGCTGGGCCAAGGAAAGGACCGGGGGACTTGTCCTCACCCTGTTCCCAGGCTCTCCCATCTCTTTTTCTTCCACCCAGGTTCGAGTCCCTGCAGGGACATGTGGCTGCCCGGCGCCTGCAACTACAGGCCTCAGTTGAGCTGTACCAGTTCTGCCACCTATGCAACTTGGAGCTCATGTGGGTGGTGGAGCACATGCCCCATGGCAGCCCCACTGGCTATGCCAAGTACTTGCATGGTGCCCAGAGCTTTTGCCACAAGCACAAGGTAACAGCTTCCCTTTTCCTACAAGATCCCTGGCATCCCTTTCCCAGTCCTACACAGGGTGTCCTGGCCTCTGAGCCCTTCTCCCTGAGTGCTCCAATTCTTGACCTGGGTCCTGCCACAGTTGGGTCTGGAGCCACACCCATGGCTTGCTCCAGACACCTCTTGGTTAAGGGCAGCAGCCTCTCATGCTGCTCCGTGGCAGGAGCTCCAGGCCGAGGTGAAAGCTCACCAGAGGCAGGTGCAATGGGTGCTGGGCTCCGGACGGAAACTGGCAGCCTCAGGGCACCCCCAAGCCCCACACATCATGGAGCAGTGCCAGGAGCTAGAAGACCACTGGGCAGAGCTGGAAGGGGCATGTGAGGCACGGGCCCAGTGCCTGAATCAGGCCGTCACTTTACAGCAGGTAGGATGCAAAGAGGCGGGATTGGGGAAGGGGCAGAAGTCAGGACAGGTTCTGTGAGGGGGGATTTGTCGACTCTCGGGGAGGTGGGTCAGTGGTGAGGGCTCTGGGCTAGGAGCTGGCTAGTATCCCTGTGAGCACAGAAGCCCCTTTGTGCAGGGTGTCCCCAAGGGGTGACGGAGGGTCCTGTCTGAGCTCCTCAAGGTGAGCTGGCCCCTCTCTTGGCAGTACTTTCTGGATGTGTCAGAGCTGGAGGACTGGGTGAAGGAGAAGCAATTGCTGGTGAGCAGTCAGGACTATGGCAGAGATGAGGCAGCCACCCTCAAGCTCATTAAGAAGCACCAGGTACCATGTCCTGAGCATCCCACGCCACGGACATGGCGTGTCCGTGGGTGATGATGGACTGTGAGAAAGGGACTGTCACACTCCCTAAGGGCACATTCTACTCCTCAAAAGCAAGAGTCCCCCCCTTGCTTCCTGAATACACGGCCAGACCCATTCCCACTGCCCGCCCTGATCCTGCAGTGCCCCTAGGCAACCCTAGGTGTCCTGACCTATGCTCTTCTTTCCTTCTTTGTCTCATTACAAGTGTTGCCTCTCCCTGTGGTCTCAGAGTTTCTCTGCCTCCTCTTGCTTCCTCTCCCTCCCCCCCCGGCACTTTTCTCCTTTCTTGGGGTCACCTGCTCCAGCCCTCTCCACATCTTCCAAAAGTGTCTTCCTCTTATCATCCTTTGCCTATGGTCTTTTGAGTTAACTAAATGCCTTTTCTGAAGCCCAGCTCCTCTCACAAGCATCCCCTTGTTCAAGGGAGGGAGGCCAGGCCGAGCACAGTAGCTCACACCTATAAGCCCAGCACTTTGGGAGGTCCAGGTGGGAGGATTGTTTGAGACCAGCCTGGGCAACAGAGTAGACCCTGTCTCTAAAAAAAGAAGAAGGGGCAGGAAGAGGAGGAGAAGAAAAAGAAGAAGAGGGAGGAGGAGAAGTAGAAGGAAGAAGAAGAAAGAAGAAAGGAAAAGGAGGCCTGGAAGCCCCCCTCCTGGAGTTGGGACTCCCAGAGCCACACAAGCCCCAAAGCCTGGACTCCACAGCAGTCCTAGTTCCTGCTGTCACTGAAGTGTCCTCCTGTCTGGGTATTTTTTCTGCACAGCCCTGTGGTCACTGTTTCAGTGTGTTCTGTGACTGAGGCCCTTCAGTGAGCCATTCCTAGAGGGCAAGGCTGTCGCCTTGGCTTCGTGCGCTTGAGCTTCCGTGCCCGTGTGTACTGGGCAGCATACCTAATTCCATCCCTCTCTTATACTTTGATATTTGGGTCCAGTATATGCCCCCTGTGCCCTCCCGTCCTTGGCCCAGATTAACCAGCGCTCTCCTCTCCCTGCTAAGTAATGAGCCCTCTGAGGGCACAGTCCATGTCTTTAATTCATGGAACACTAAGTACTCCCTCAGCATCAGGTGGCAGGTGAATGAGTGGGTGACTTAGAGGGTAGATGAGTGGGTGTGTGAAGTGATGGGTGAATGAATGATGGGTGGTGAACAGATTCGATGAATGGGTCACCCAGCTGAGCCTGGCATGGGTCCTCATGTGTTGGCAGACCCTGCAGTGGGAACTGGCTCTTCACTGGCACTCCGCAGAGGAGCTTGGCCACAGGGCCCAAGCCCTCACTGGCCCTGAAGCCCCAGAACAGCTGGATGTGGTGCAGAAGAGGCTCTGGGGCCTGCTGCAGGCACTGCAGGAACTGGCAGCCACACGGTGAGAACTGCTGTAATCCCCTCCTCGGTGGAGGTGGGGCTTGTGAGCCCTGGCTGAGGGCAGGCCTTCTGAGTGGAGCAGGGCCTGGCCACAGTTGACTGTTCCCATGTCGTGGCCCTAAGTTGGAAGGAACCCTATGTCCCCAGGCCTGTAGAGCTATTTAAGAGAGGCCGAGTCTTTGCTGTATGTTGCCTTCCTCCTTCCACACATTATTGCATGAGGGCCAGTGGGGCAGGAGCCCAGACCCCACAAATCCCAGCTGACCATCTCACACCCACTCCCTCCTCTGCCCCCAACACTTTCCTTCCTGTCCACTTCTCCCTGAATCCTGAGCCACAGGCTTGGGCAACGACCATGAACAATCCCATCCTTCAGGTCACCCCCTCTGACTGACTCAGTTATCAAGGGGGTGGGAAACTAACCTCTGGGGATCCATGGGCTGTCACCACAGAGACCGGGAGCTGCAGGGGACCTTGAAGCTGCATGAATTCATGGGGGAGGCTGAGGACCTGCAGGGCTGGCTGGCCGGCCAGAAGCAGGTGGTCACAGGAGGGGAGAGCCCTGGAGAGGACTACAAGCACGTTCTAGTAAGAGGAGGACTGCGGGAAAGGAGGACACACCAAGGCAGAACCTGTTGGGTGGGAAGGCTGACCCTGGCAGGGCTGGATAGAGGAGGTAGAGGTGGGGCTTGTGAGCCCTGGCTAAGGGCAGGCCTTCTGAGTGGAGCGGGCAAGCACTGTGGCTGTCCAATCCATGTTGCCCAGTTGGGTACTGAGGCTATTTGCTGCCTAGCCAGCCAGCGGGGCCACCCTGTCACCGCTCCCCTTCTTCCCCTCAGCATCTCTGCACCACGTTTGTGAAGTTTCAGCACCAAGTGGAGATGGGCAGCCAGCGGGTAGCGGCCTGCCAACAGTTGGTGGAAAACCTGCTAGAGTGTGGGCACAGTGCTGCCCCCAAGGCCTATGAGAGGCAGCAGGATCTGCAGTGAGTGCCCAGTAGGCCGAGGGCAGGCAGGGGCTGGAGTGTTAAGGGAGGGTGACAGGCCTGTCACAGTCACTCATGCCTGTAATCCCAGCACTTTGGGAGGCCGAGGTGGGAGAACCGCTTGAGACCAGGAGCTCAAGATCAGCCTGGGCAATGTGATGAGATCCTGTCTCTACAAAATTTTTTTTTTAAGTTAGCCAGGTTTGGTGGTGTGTGCCTGTAGTCTCAGCTACTTGGGAGGCTGAGGCCAGAGGATCCCTTGACCCTAGGAGTTTGAGACTGCAGTGAGCCATGATGACACCACTGCACTTGAGCCGGGGTCATAGAGTGAGACCCTGACTCAAAATACAATAAAAAAAGAGAGGGTGGCATGCTCCGAGGGCCACATTGGCTCTACCTGCCTCAGGTACCTGCAAAGGGGGCTGGTTCCAGGGAAGCTGAGCCTGCCACAGGCTGTGGTCTGTGAAGGGAGTAGGCTGGGCGTGCAGGTCAGAGAGCCCTGCCCAGATCCCCAGGGACACTTTTTCCAACTGCTGGCTCCCAGTACTCAAGAGGAAGAGCTGGGAAGAGACTGCTGGGCCAGAGGTCAGGGCCTTCCCATGAGCTTCCCCTGCCCCCATGTTTAACCAGGACAACCCCTGCCATACCACATTCCTAGTTGCCCACTCACCTGCTGGGATCCATTCCAGGCTGTGAGCTTTGAGGCAAGGTCATGACTTTTTCATAACCCCCAGCATAGGGCCTATGCTGGCAGAAGCCTCAGGAGCTCAGCTAGAGTTTGCAGAGTAAATGAGGAAGGGAGAGAAGATACAGCCTCTGCCCTCAAAACATTTGTAATCTGACTGACATATTAGGAATCAAACACACAAAGGCTGTAAGGAATATGGTGGGGACTGACATTAACTACATGCTGAGCACTAGAGCAGCAAAGGACTGAATTCATAGGAAATCTAGAATGCCGGCTCCAAGGAGGAAGGTTTGGGAAGTCTTAGGAAAGGGAGACCTATTCAGGAGCTTTGGGCAAGTCCCAACAAAACCCAGAGAGGAGAGAGGCTGACCAGACCCAGCAAGGGGGAGGCATGAGAGGCTGGGCTAGTAGCTTATCTCCTGCTGGTCTCCCACATGCCTGGTGGCAGGGCCACCTGGTTGGAACTGTGGGAGCTGACCCAGGCCCGAGGCCGCCTACTTCGAGATGCCGAGACCACCTTCAGAGTTCACAGAGATCTGTCAGAAGTGCTCATCCAGGTCCAGGTGTGAGCCCAAGGGGAGGAAGAGGGTTCTTTCTAGAAGGGGATCCACCCAGGCTCAGTGCCCACCCTCCATTCCTGATCTCTTTGGCCATCCCCCCTCCTCAGGAGAAAGCCACAAGCCTCCCCAGCGATGTGGCCCAGGACCTGCGTGGGGTAGAGGTCCAGCTGAGGAGACACAAGGGGCTGGAGCATGAACTCACGGGCACTGAGCAGCAGGTAAGCCCAGGTGGCTGCCTGTCCCACTTGGGCCCCTGCAGGTCCCCTCAGGCTGGAGCGTCTGTTCCTCTCCCTCAGGGCCTCCAATGCCCATTGTGCACGGCGGGCATGGCCCAAGGAGGGTCTGAGTTCCCAAGCAAGGGATCCTTCTGTGGTAGGGTCAGGAGAACACCTGCCTTCCCTCCCTATTCCATACCCTGACCCCAGCTGCAGAAACTGCTGGAGAATGCAGACAGGGTGCAGAAACTGTGTCCAGGACCTCAAGCCCAAGCCGTGCAGCAGAGGCAGCAAGCTGTGACACAGGCCTGGGCGGCCCTGCGGCAGTACGTGGAACAGCGCAGGGCCCAGCTGGAGCGTGCATGCCTCCTGGCCCGCTTCCGTATGGCGGTGAGGGCTCCTTACCCTCAAGTGGGGAGGGTGTGTGTGTGTGTGTGTTGCACCTTGCATGTGCACACATTAATGATATAGCCCTCCAGTTCTGGAGGGAAAACAAGTGTGGACACAGGGTGGAATGATGTGAGCACACCTGGAGATCAGCCTGGCTGGTCAGAGGACTAAGCACATGAGTGGAGAAATGGTGCCTTGGGTTTGGGTCAGTGCCAGGGAGATGAGTGACAGGGTAGTCATGCAGGGTCCCAGCCAGGGCTGGGGAGTAAGAACAGCCTGGGAAAGCCCAAAACTGGAGACCCAGGCATTCTAGACAGTGACTTCTGGATCAGCCAGCATCAGCTTAGCATCTGAGTGCAGCTCTCTGCTAGGAGCTGCGGTGGAGAGAGAGAATGCACAGAAGCTGGAAGGTGGAAGTGCTGCCCCATGGAGCCTGCCTTCCTGGGGAGATGAGCCTCAGCCCCCAGAGAGTCAGACTGGGACAGTGGGCCCTGGCCATGGGCCGTCCCAGGAGTCTCTGTGTCCTGGTACCTGGTAGACCAAGAGGCCCAAACCATGACACTGCAGAAAGGCTTGAGTTTAGGGACCCCACACTGCCACTTGCTAGCAACTTCAGCAGGGTACTCGACCCTAGGTTCTTAGCCTCTGTTTGTCACGTGTTTAGAGCCTCCAGAACCCTTTCACCTGCATCGTGCCATTTGTGCTTCACTCTCTATGCGATGAGATGTTTGGGAAAGGACCCGAGACCCCTGCAGCTCTTACCTTGTGTAGTTGCACACACCTCAGCAGACAACAGTTTGTAAGGGTTAAAGGACAAGGAGAGCAGTGAGAGGTCAAGGCACTAGGGAGGCAAAGAAGGTCTTGGCTCTGCAGAACAGGTGAGCCTGTGTTTCCATCAACCAACTATTCACCAAGCCTGTCTTGCTCCACAGACCTACCCAGGCAAGCTTTATAGACACGAGAAGGAAGAAGGAGGAATGGCAAGAGCAAAGGGTGGAGACAAGCCTTGGCGAGGGTCTGGCATGGGTGGAGGGTTTGTGGAACCGAGAGGAGCAGGTTGGATGAGAACAGAGCAGTCGGTGACAAAGGGCCCCATGCACCTGACCTGAAGCCTGACCCAGGAGAGCTCTGACCACCCGGCTGTGAGAGTGGACTCAAGTGGGCTGTTGTTCCCTGCCACCAGCCCTGCTCTCACTCGGCTCTCCCTCTGTCTCCCCGGGGTCAGGTGCAGGACTATGCCTCCTGGGCAGCCAGTGTGCAGCAGGAACTGCAGACAGAGGAGAGCTCCCGGGAGCCCGGCAGCGGCCCCCTAGAGCTCAGTGCCCACCAGCGGCTCCGGGCAGAGTTGGAGGCCTGGGAGGAGCTGCAGCAGCAGGCCACCCAACTGGGCCAGCAGGCACTTCTGGCTGCAGGGACACCTGCCAAGGAGGTGGGCCCCCTTTCCCGGTGCCCCCGCCTACCCTACCTGATGTCGCCTGTGCCTGGCCACATGGCACCCTGTCCACTGTGCCATGCCAACCTCTCCTCGGAGGCTTCCCTCGGGATCCTCACTACTCTCCCCAGCCCAGGCTCCCCACATGTCCACTCCCAGATCCAGGAAGGGCTGCAAGTCCTGAAGGACCAGCGGGGTCAGGTGTTCCAGGCCTGGGCACAGAAGCAAGAGAGGCTGCAGGCCGCATGGCAGGAGCAACTCTTCCTCAGAGAGTGCAGCCACCTGGATAAGATCCTGGAGGCCCAGGAGGCAAGTCCCCTCTCCGGCCCTCCCAACTCTGTTCCTTTTCACCATCTCCACTCTTTCTGCTCACCCCTCTCCTCCTGGGTGTAGAGTCAAACGGGGTAGAGTGCTGAGGCCCTGGGCCTCCACTGACACACCCAGACTGAGTTCTGAGGAAGTTATCCCGAGGCTGGTCACGTGCCCCATGTTGAGGTGTTGCCAGCCCCTCACCCCAGTCTGGGATCCATGCCTCCTCACAGCTCCCCATCCAAGCTCAGTGCTTGCTTTAGCCCCCTGGGCACTCCCAAGGTCCTGCTTCGCCAGAGTATCCAGGGTGCTGCCTCAGCCCAGACTGTAGCTGGAGGAGCTGGCTGACTAGAAAGCCTCACTGGCCTCTGACTTTTCCGTGGGTTGTTGATCCAGGTCTCCCTGAAAACCAATGCCCTTGGGAGCTCGGTGGAAGAGGTGGAGCAGTTGATCCGCAAGCATGAGGTCTTCCAGAAGGTGCTGACTGCCCAGAATGAGAAGGTAATGGGTTCAGGGAGTCCTGGGCATGGTCAGAGTATTCAGGTTGGGAGAGTCCAGGAACTCTGAAGAGTCGTGAGTGGAGTCATAGGGTGCTTGATGTGTCCTCGGAGGCAGTACTGATGTATCTGTAGGACCAGGGTGCTGGCAGGACTCACAGGGCAGTTGTACATGTGGCTCAAGTAAAGGGCCCAAGAAGGCGAGGGCCACACTGCGGGGACCATGAGGCATTCAGCTCTGTCCACATCATGTGGACACCCCACGTGGTCTCTGGGGAGCAGCTTTGTTCTGGCTGGTGGCTGAGAGAATCAACCAGCCCTCGGCCACACAGGGGTGAGGGAAGAGAAGGGCTGTGAGCACTGTGGGCCAGGCCCTGCTCCAGCCCCCAGGATGGGAGGACAATGGGCTGTGCCCCTGCCCCACAGGAAGCAGCTCTGCGTCAGCAGTTGAAGATGCTCCAGGGCCCCAGGGTGCAAGCCCGGCTCCACACCGTGCTGCAGCGCCGGGCTCAAGTGAAAGAACTGGCAGGAAGCCGAGGACACGCTCTGCACACCTCCCTGCTGATAGCTGGCTTCTCCAGAGCTGTGGCCCAGGTCAGAGAGCCACCCCCAACCCAGAGCCTCCCTTGGAACCATATTTTACAGTTTTCAGATGACCTTCATACCTCGACTTTGTAATGGGAAACTGAGGTTTGGAAAGTTAAGTGGCTTTCCCAGGGGCCATGCTGGAGTCCAGAACATTTGATTCCAAGCTCCTTTGTGCTGAGACACCACCTGTTTCCTGAGCTCTAGTGGGGCCAGGGCAAAGAGAGGAGGGGAAGAGAGCAGAGCAGCCCAGGGTCCTGGGGAAGAGGGGTCATACCTTCACAATGAGATCCCACCCAAGGCCCTGCCCAGCTACTTCCTGTGACTAGGTCAACTGGCCCTGGAGCATGTCTTCCTGTGCTAGAACCAATGGCACCTCCACCCCTGTCCCTGAGGCCCGTAGTCAGCCACCCGGTCACAACTGGGGGCTAGGCCTGCAGGGTGTCTCTGGGGCCCAGGCAGTGGGAACATCATGGGATTCATGTCCTACCCCCATCAGGCCGAGGACTGGATCCAGGAGCGGACCCAGCAGCTGAAAAAGCCGAGCCCTCCAGGGAACCTGAGAGATAAGTGGAAGCACCTGCTGAAACACCAGGCCTTTGAGGCTGAGGTCCAGGCCCATGAGGAGATCGTGACCTCTGTTGTCAAGGTAACAGTCAGCCCCCCGCCCCACATCCCCACAGTGTGGGCAAGGGGTGAGGATTTGTGCAGGAAGAATGGCAGCAGGCAAGATCTCCGATGGCTCCTCTCTCCCTAGCAAGGCAAAGCTGTCCTGGCACAGAGGCCTACTCGGGCAGCAGAGGTCTCCCAGAGGCTGCAGGTGCTGCAGAAGCACTGGGAGGAGCTGAAGCAGGCAGTGGTCCTTCGGGGCCAGGAGCTAGAGGACAAGCGAAATTTCCTGGAGTTCCTGCAGAGAGTGGACCTTGCAGAGGCCTGGATCCAGGAGAAGGTGGAAGCCCAGCTGGACAGGGGCAGAGCTGGGGGCCGCAGGCTGAGAAATGGGGAGGAGGAGCCCAGGCCTACCTTTCTCTAGCTCCCTGATGGAAGGGAGCCCCAGCAGCAAGTCCCAAAAGCCTCCATTTGCCCTGACACTGCCCCTGCCGTGGGTGCCAGGGCACTGGGCACCTGGGGCCAGTGCTCAGAGCGCTGCCCTCCCCACCCTCGGCCTTCACAGGAGGTGATGGTGAATGTCGGAGACCTGGGCCGGGACCTTGAGCACTGCCTGCAGCTCTGCAGGCGGCTCCACGAGCTCCAAGGAGCCTTGGCCAGGGTAAGGGGGACCTGCCCAGGGAGAGGTTGGCCACGGCATCCCCCACCAGGAAATACTGTTCAGAGTAGGGTAGGTGCATAGTCTTAGGTGTCAGCTCCGTGCTCAACTACTTGCATGCACTTAGGCAGTCTCCCTCATCTCACCAAGCCTTAGTGTCTTCATCTTTAGAAGGGGACTGATGCCTGCCTCAGAGAGAAGGGAGCATGTGTGTGTGGTGGTGGTTATATGAATCTAGACCTGTGGTAAAACTCCTAGGCCCTTGCCCCCCCAGGCACAGACGTGTACACCCGAAAACTGGTAAAATCCAAATCAAGTCTATTTAATAGCATCATACCAATGTCAATTTCCAGGTTTTAATATTATCCATATGTCAGATGCTACCATAAAAGGGAAGCTGAAGAAAAGGTACATGGGACTTCTCTGCATGAGTTTTGCAATTTCCTGTGTACCTGTAATTGCTACAAAAACATTTAAAAAGTAGTGTGTATGCCTGGATGTAGTGGATAATCAAAACCCTTCTTCAGTGTGGCTATTTCAATATCTCAGCCTCTCCTTCTCTCCCCACACCCTACCCCCCCACCACACACATACACATACCCTACTAAAAATCTATGTCTCTTATGTGGCATAGAGAAGAAACTTGGCAAATGTATTTACCATCAGGTGTTAGAGACCAAATGTTTAACTTTATCCTCCTGACATAAGTATGCATGATTTTTCAAAAGGCTGCTGTGCTTAAACCATTCTGCTAATGGTGGAACTTCACAGATGCTATGCTGAATGCAATAGCAGGAAGAGAGCTAGACTTCAGGGGAGCTGGGCTTGAATCCTGGCTCTGCCACAGATGAGCCATGGTAGCCTCTGGGCTCTTATCTGGCATCTATAAAAGACACCCTTCCCTGCCTATGCCATATAAGGCACTTCATAGGAAGGGCCTTAGATATTTGAACAAGTTCTAGAGATGCAAGGGGCAGGAGGTTTGCATCTCTACCCTGAAGGGCATCCCCTCCTAGTGTACCTGTAAGCCTCGCCTTGTGTCCAAGCAGCACTGGCCTCAGCCCAGGCGAGTTGTCGGACAAGCGGGGCACCAAAACCCCAGGAAGCCAGAGCTCACCATTCCATTCCACCTCTCCCGAGAAGCTGCATTCTGTCTTTAAAAGTGTCCATTAATAAGCAAGTGTGGAGCCAGGTGTAGTGGCTCATGTCTGTAATTCCAGCACTTTGGTAGACTGAGGTGGGGGGATTGCTTGACCAGCCTGGGAAATATAATAAGACCCTGTCTCTACAAAAATAAATAAATAAATTAGCCAGGTATGGTGGCACAGTCCTGTAGTTGCAGCTACTCAGGAAGTGGAAGGGCCACCTGAGCTCAGGAGGTCAAGACTGCCATGAGGCGTGATCATCATTATCTATACTCCGTTCTGGGCAGCAGAGTGAGATTCCAACTAAAACAAAACAAAACAAAACGCCTCTGTCATCCTCCCCCTGCTACATGGTTGCCAACCAGAGGAGCACATTTCCTGGCCTTAAAGACAACTCTGGGGCTGCAGGCTCCAAGCTGATCTTGCTTGCTGCTCCTGAGACGGGCGGCATCAGGCACCTGCTGCAGTAGAGGAAGCAGCTTTTCCCACTGCCCAGACATGCTGCTTCTCATGCTCCAGGGGCCTGGCATTCCCACCTAGTGCCCACTGCAGTGCAAAGAAGGGGCTCTGTGTGGGTGGTGCCAGTGCCCTCACCTGAACCTCCCTGTAGGACACAGTGGGTGACGCCCACATCAGGAGCATCAGTGACTTCTCACTGCAGCTCAAGACCCGGGACCCCGAGGAAGTTAAGACCATCTGCCAGCGACGAAGCCAGCTCAACAACAGGTCAGTCCCAGGCTGGGGAGAGCTGTGAGGCCGGAGAGGGGTGGAAGGCCACCTCAGACTCCATGTTACACCATCACCCCTTGGCCAGGTGGGCGAGTTTCCATGGCAACCTGCTCCAGTACCAGCAGCAGCTGGAAGGAGCCCTGGAGATACACACGTTGTCTCGAGAGCTAGATAACATCACTGAAAGGATTGGAGAGAAGGTAGGTGGAAGGGGCCCCATTGTGCCCTGTGAACAAACGCAACCAAGGGAGGAGGCTAGAGTCTCCCACGCATCTTGCCCCTGACCCACCTCTCCATCAGGAGCCCCCTGGGGCATTGGATAGACTGGCTCTCAGAGTCAACTCCAGACCATAGCAGCACCCATTGGAGGCAGGCCCAGATGCACTGTGGTCCAGAGGCCAGAGCACACTCTCCCTGGTTCCTCCCACCCCTCAGCAAACCCAAAACCCTCAGGAGGTTTGCCCTAGAATTGTGTCAGCAACCACAGAGAGACACAGCCTAAAATCTGACAGAGGCAGGAGCTGTAACACTGGGAAGCCTTTTATGAACCAAATGGTACCATGTTCTGAGCACACCTAGCTGTTCTCCTCCTCTGGTTCCTTTCCTCAGACAGTCGGGCCAGCCTGTCCATCCTCATTCCTTTTTGCATATAGCAGGAAGCACCACACAAATGAGAGTGTTACCTCAGAGGAAACTCCAGACCCAAAGTCTCTCCTCTGAATCATCTTCCTTCACATAAGGAAGGGACCTCTGGTCCCCAAAGCCAGGCCCCTGCTCCAACCCCACCATCGCAATGGGAGGGGATCCACACCAGGTGCTTGCTTTCCACACAGAAACCCTGGGTGGGCTGGACCCCTCTGCAGTGAAGCAAAAGTCAAGCATTTGCTCCCCATTCTCCCCTGCTCCCCACCAGCGTTCCCTGATAGAGGCCCTGGATGGCAGGAAAGACCAGGAGAGTGTGCAGAGGCTGCTGTGGAAACACGAGAAGCTGGAGCAGGAAATGAGCCTCATCCAGGGCCAGGTGGAGGTGTGCAGCTGGGTGTGGAGGTGGGCCCAGGCAGATGCGGGGAGGAGGGGCTTCAGGAGCACCAGAGCCACATGCAGGGGCCCCCTGCAGCCAGGGCTCTCCTCCCCAGCCTCTGACCCTGCTTCCCCCTACAGTCCCTAGAGCGTGAGGTGGGCTGCCTCTGCCAGAGAAACTCTGAGGCAGCTCACAGCCTCAGTCACAAGCAGCGAGAGATGATGGACGGCTGGAAGTGTCTCCAGAGCAGGGCCCAGAAGCGGTCTGAACCCCTTGGGCCTTGCTCCCTTACTGCCTTTGCTGACCCTGCCCCTCCAGCCTCTAAGCCCCCATACTTCCCCTTGGTTCTGACTTTCCCCCAAGAATCTTTCTCCATCCTTTGAACAACTGTCTGTGTTGTCCCACCCCAGTAATCCCCAGCCCATGGGCCCTTCTGTGGCTAAGGGAATCAGGGGACAGGAAAAGACACTGGTGGGCATAGGGGAAAGAGAGTTTGGAGCCCTGGAACTAGCCAATGAACCCTGTTGGCAGGAGGGAGTCGCTGGATGCCTTGTGCCAAGCTCAGAAACTCCAGGCGACGCTGCAGGAATTACTAAACGCAGCTCAGAGGCTACGGGCTGAGATGGACACACGAAGCGCTCCCTGCAGTCCTGCGGAAGCCCAGCGCATGCTAGGAGAGCACCAGGAACGCAAGGTGATGGGCAGGTGGGGTCCTGGGCCTTCCTGGGTCCTGACCTCCTCACTGCCCTCCCCACCCTCTCGTCCTTACTTGCACTCGGGTCCTTTCCCAGTCTTCTGTACTGTCTGTCTCCTCTAACATCCCACCCCTTAGTTGTTTTCCCCACCTCTCCTCCTACTCACTGAACCTCCTCTATCCCTGGAAGGCTTCAGCCTCTGGAGATCTGAGCCCAGTCTTGTTCCAGGCTAAGCTGGACTCCTGGACAGACAGCATCAGCCTAGCCCGAAGCCCTGGGCAGCGACTGCTCACAGTTGGGCACCTGTCCACCCCTGACATCTGCCATGCCCTGGCTGGTTTGGAACAGGAGCAAAGCAGCCTGGAAGGGACCTGGCAAGAGCATCAGCTGCAGCTGCAGCAGGCCCTGGAACTACAGGCAGGCACAGTTCCATCACTGGCCTCACCTATCAAGGCCCACACTGACCCACAGCCCCTGGCCACAGCTAAGCCCAAAGGGGCTGCTGTGTGGGTGCTTTTACCACCAGTCAGCACTCAGCTCACCGAGATCAAGTCTTGCCTGTGTGGACTCGTTCTGTAGAGTTAGACCCAGGTCCCGCTACTAGAAGGGTCACTGGTTCACTCCACCTGCAGTGTGACTGTACCTCCTGCCAACTTTCTCTTGCCTTTTTCTTTCTCACTAGCTGTTTCTGAGCTCAGTGGAGAAGATGGAATGTTGGCTTTGCAGCAAGGAAGACTTCTCAGCCAGTGAGGGCCCGGGGGTCAGTACTCAACAGGAGCAGCCTCGGGGATCAAACCAGCCAGTGCTGTCTGAGCTCCACAGGCCAGGGATCCTCCCCTTCTGTGGCATCTCCCCTGCCCTTGACCACATCAGTCACTTGGTGATTACGTACCCATCAATCCTGAGCAGTTCACATGTACCTGGCAGTGAATGCCACAGCGCTTAGAGAGTAACGTGTGGCCCTGACCCATTGCCTCCTTCCACTGTTCCCCTCACCCCTGCCCTCCTCACTTTCCTGTACACTCAGAGATTTGCTTTTCCCACCACTGAGCCAACCCTGTGGCAGATGAGTAGAATTTGTGGGAGACCTCAGAGGATAATTAGGGACTCTGTTATCAGAAAAAGCTTTGCCTGCCCTGGAAATGCTGACATGTAACCATTATCCCCAGTACCTCCCCTGGTTGAGAATCACTGTCCTAAAGCCAGAAGCAGCCTTGAGGGAATTGAGGGATGTGTCTGGACAGAGCCATCACGTTGTGGATGCATGTTTGGGAGGATGGCTCTGGGGAAAGCAGATAGCTTAGGATGGGGAGTGGGCCACCCCTTGGACAGTGTCAGGTTCCCTGCTTCTGCCAGGACCCCTTGGCCAACGTGGAGACCCTCCTGTGGAAGCACAAGATGTTGGAGCAGGACCTGGAGGCACAGACGGAAAAGATCAGCATGCTGGATGCCACAGCCCACAGCCTGCATCAGCGTGGACACCCCGAGGCTCAGGGTGCCCTGAGCAGGTGCCAGGCCATGCTTCAGAGGTATCTCTGGCTCTGGGTGGTGGGCTGGCATGGGCATCTAGAATTCCAGCTCTTCCCTTTCTGACCTTCTGCTGCTTGACCCAAGCTCACCAGCCTTTCCCAAGCACTGAGGTCAGATGTCAGGGGTCCCCTTCAGATGGCCCTGTGGCGTGTTGGCCTGTTACAGACATCAAATGACACACAGAGAATCCCACTTCTTTCTACATCCAATTGAGATAGAGGGGGGTTTACAGATAAGCTTATGCTAGGAAACTGAGACGAAACCTTGGAATGAAATGGAAGATACCAGAGCACAGTAGCTGTGTGTCAGCTACCCAGGGTCAGACATTCCCGAGTTCCTCTGCTGCCCACTAATGGTGGGACATGAGGCAAATTCCTCCCATCAGTAGAGGCTGAACCTTGCATCACAATGAGTGGATAACACCTGCCTGCCTCTTAGGGCCGTGGTAAGGAACAAAAAGTCCCTTGACATCTTGGCATGGTGCCCAGCTGCAGCAGCAAGCTGGCAGATGTCTTATGCCTATTTAACCCAAAGATCAGGCCCAGAAGTGTGTGTGTAACCTGCCCAGCCTGTGAGACTCCAGGCTGCACCCTTTCCTCGTGAAAGCTTATCTTGTCCAGCCGCCTCATCCAGCTCCTCAGACTTATAGATCAAAGCAAATACAACCAAAAGTCAGATTCCAGAATGGCAGGGATCTCAGTCCTTTCCAGAGAGCCTATCAGTGCCCACAAATTTTATAGCTCCATGTGCCAATGTCCTGGCGAGGGCCGAGACCATCCCCTCTCCATTTTTGCAGGTGGAATCCCCACTCCTGGGGACCCATGGAAGTCTGTGAATTGACAGAGGGCAAGCACTGGTTTGCTAGTCTCCGTCAACACCCCCTCTGTCTGTCCCTATAGGCAGTTCTTGGCAGCATTGTGCCAACCTCTCCCCTCACCTCCCAGGCTTCAGTCAAGCCTCTCTGTATCTCCCCCACCTGCCATGCCCTTTGGCCATGAGGTTCATGCTTACAGCAGCGTGGGGTGTGCTGACAAAAGGTGTGCATGGTGGGAGTATATTAGGACTGCTTTTCCTGCTTTATGAATTTCATAATTTCTTTTTTTGTGGATATGGTCATGTACTTAATAATATTGGTACAGAGGTATGTATACAATACATAAGTCAGTTTGTAATATATATTTATATATTATATATTAAACCTATTAAATTATACATATATCAAATATATAAATGTTAGATATGATATATTTATATATAATGGGAGGCCTACTTTCAAGTTCTTACTAAGCCGGGCTCGGTGGCTCAGCCTGTAATCCCGCACCTTTGGGAGGCTGAGGTGAGTGGATTGCCTGAACCCGTGGGTTCAAGACCCGCCTGGGCAGTGAGACCTCATCTCTACAATAAATTAAAAAATCAGCCAGGCGTGGTAGCGCATGCCTGTAATTCCGGCTACTTGGAAGGCTGAGGAGGAAGGATCGCTGGAGCCCAGCAGGTCAAGGCTGCGGTGACCGGGAGCAGCCACTGCACTCCAGTCTGGGTGACAGAGTGAGACTCCAACTCAAAAAAATAAATGAATAAATAAATAAATAAAGTTCTTACTAATAGTGCATGATCAAAAAAATGGTTTAGACACTGTGTTGGTCTACTTGGGCTGCTATAACAAAATGCTACTTGGGTGGCATAAACAACAGACAGTTACTTTCTTACAACCCTGGGGCCTGGAAGTCCAAGATCAAGTTGTCTTCTGGAGGCCTCTCTTCTTGCCTCACAGATGGCTGCCTTCATTGGGCCTCACATAGTCTTTCCCAAACATTGGATTAGGGCCCACTCATATGAGACCTCATTTTAATGTAGTCACCTCAAAGATCCTGTCTCTAAAAAACAGTCATAGTCTGAAGTACTGAGTTTAGGACCTTGGTATAAAAACTTGAAGGGACAAAATTCAGCCCATACCAGACACTAAATATGAGGGGAAGTATAATGTGTCTTTATTTCAAAGAAAACCTCAGGGAATATTGGTACCCAAGAAGGAATGGCCTAGGTGAAAAGGGTACGCATACACGCCTATGTCTCTCTCTCTCTCTCTCTCTCTCTCTCTCTCTCTCACACACACACACACACACACACACACACACACACACACACACACACACACACACACACCTGAGCAGCTCCAGGTCCTGTGGGAAGACCTGAGAGCCCAGCACACTCTCCTCCTGGCAGGAAAGAGGCACTCCTGGCGCAAGCAAGGACCCGCTGTCACCACCTGGAGGAGCTCCAGCAGCTACAGACTTTCCTGCAGGATTCCTCTGAGGTTCTCCTTGCTTGGGGTGGGGATTGAGTGTGGTGGGGGGAAGGAGTTTCCCGGGAAATGCTGCCCTTCCTCTGAGACTTCCCAAAGGTGGTCCTTCCCGTGTGCCCAGATGGCCATGTGGCTGAGGGAGAAGAACCTGGTGGCCCTGGAGGATGGTTGTCGGGACCCTGCCATGCTTCAGGCACAGTTGCGGAAGCAGCAGAATTTCCAGGCTGAGTTGGACGCGAGTGTGCACCAGCAACAGGAGCTGCAGATGGTGAGGCCCTACGGTACTGGAGGGCCACAGGACGGCCCTGCAGGCCAGACGACTCCGTGGAGCCCTGGCAGTCGGCTCTGAACCTCAGTAGCAGACGACTGACATTCACCAAGTGCTTCCAGGGTGCAGGCCCCATGCTAGGCACTGGAGTGTAGTGAGAAGCAGTTGCTTCCCTGGGGCACTCCCTCCAAAGGTGTTCAATAGACAATGTCTTGATGAGATCAGGGCCTGGTTAGCAGACCTGTGGGTGAAGGAGTCAAAACATAGCACTTTTTTTTTAACATTCCCTTTTTCACCTGCAAAGGCAGGTCCTGACCCCAGGCTGGCTCCCTCTGATGTAAAATGTCCTGCTCAGTATTTTATATACCTTATCTCATTTAAGCCAAATAACCATTATTATTACATGGATGAGGAAAAGTGAGGTTCAGAAAGGTTAAGAAACTTGCTCAAGATCACACAGCGAACACACTCACACTGCAACCGTGGGACTGGTGGTCAGAATCAACACTGCGCCTGGCACCAGCAGTTCATGAAGTGTGTGCCATGTTGTGGCTGCAGGAGGGGCAGAGGCTGCTTAAGGGGGGCCACCCGGCCTCTGAGACCATCCAGGAGCGGCTGCAGGAGCTGGGAGAGCTCTGGGCTGAGCTGCAAGCCAACTGCCAGAGGAAGGCGGCCATGCTCCAGGGGGCCTGCAAGGTGAGGCTGTGGGCACCACGGAGCGGCTGTTGGGGCCCCAGACCCCTCCTCTCATGCCCACCTCACTTTCTGCCCCAGGCCTTGAGTCTGCAGCGGAGCATGGAGGAACTGGAGAGCTGGCTGGAGCCCGTGGAAGTCGAGCTGAGAGCCCCCACAGGGGGCCAGACCCTGCCTGGAGTAGATGAGCTCCTGGATGTACAGGGAGAGCTAGAGGCAGCGGTGAACAGGCAGGCCAGACAGGCAGAGGCCCAGCTGGGCCAGGCCCAGGCCTTCGTACAGGAAAGCCACTGTCTCGCCCAAGACATGGAAGAGCAGGCCCGTCAGTTGCTTCACAGGTAGATACATCCATGCCCCCGCCTCCATTTGCATCTGCCTCACCCTCCCCTTCCCTGCCTTCCTGAGGACACCCACCCCTGGCCCCAGCTCACGTCCTCCCACCTCTCCCCCATTCACAGTGAGGGTCAGAGAATGGGTGAGCCCTGATACCAACAACCACAGCCCCTGCCTCCCTGGGCCCACCCTCCACTGTTGCAGGTTCGAGAGCCTGTGGGAGCCCCTGCAGGAGCGTCGGACAGTCCTGGAGGCCCAGAGCCTCCTCTTGCAGTTCTTCAGGGACGCTGATGAGGAAATGGCCTGGGTGCAGGAGAAGCTGCCCCTGGTCACGGGCCAGGACTATGGCCAGAGCCTGAGTGCAGTGCGGCACTTGCAGGAGAAGCACCAGGTGAGGGCCTACCTTGGGACACGAGCAAGGCTCCTCAGCCAAGGAAAGGGTGCTGTCTGTGGTCTAGCCAAGGAACTCTGTGGTTCTTTGAGGGGTCATGGGGAGCGGGAATTCCTTGGGAGCAAGCGTGTGGGGTCCTGTGAGGCACAACTCTCGGGTCCCCCAAGTGTGCAGCAGCATTTCCAGCCCTTCTTCCTCCTTCTCCACAGATCTTGGAGAGTGAGATGAGCAGCCATGAGGCTCTGACCCGGGTGGTGGTGGGCACCGGACACAAGCTGGTGCAGGCTGGGCACTTCGCCGCCCACGAGGTGGCCGCCCGGGTGCAGCAGCTGGAGAAGGCCGTGGTCCACCTGCAGGCGGAGGCAGAGCGGCGGGGTCAGCGGCTGCAGCAGGCTCAGGAGGCCCAGCAGTTTCTGATGGAGGTGAGGGGTGACATGCAAGGCGTCAGGCCGGGCACGGTACAACCCAGAGCCAGTGTGGGCAGAAGGTAGCTCCCAAGGGGTCTCCGGGCTCTGTGCCTCTTCTGTCTCCTCCGCTGAGCGGCCTCCTGCCCCCAAGGGCTTCCTTCTCCAGGTTTCCCAGAAAACAGGCCACAGCTTGTTTGGTCTGTTTCACTCTTTCTCCTAGACCAGTAGTTCTCAGCCAGTGCATTCCATGAGAACCACCTGGAAATATCACCTCATGATTAGGCCCAAGTTACCTCAGAATGGTGAACACGACTGTAAGGAAGAAAAACTGAAGTAAATAAATAAGCTAAGAAATGAAAGGGAAGGCAACCCCCTTGAGTTCCCTATTGCTCTCAGAGCTTTTCTGTCCTCTCAATAAATCCTGCTTTAAAAAAAGGAAATGAAATGAGAGGGAGAAACTCACTACAAAGAATATTTACTAAAACTTGGTTTTATTATTATGAAGTCACAAACACAAAATCTATCCCTATGAACCAAGAATAAAGTGTCTTTATTTTGCCTGGGGAAAAAAAATTACCTGGAACCTTTAATAAACACACACTCGGACTCTATTCCAGACCAAATGAAGATCTTTAGGGGAGGGACCTAGACATAGGGACCTTGTCCCTGCCCTCCAGGTCATTCAAATATGCTGTCACGCTGGGACTCACTGCTCTGAATCTTGAGGCAGGGAGCCCTGGAGAGTAGTGTCCAGGGAAAACTGGTCTCTACTATGTCACTCCAGCTTCTGGAAGCCGGATCCTGGCTGGCTGAACGGGGCTGTGTCCTGGACAGTGAGGACGTGGGCCACAGTGCCGAGGCCACACAGGTCCTTCTGCGGCGGCTAGAGGCCACCAAGAGAGACCTGGAGGGGTTCAGCCTGCGCATCGAACAGCTACAGCAGACAGCAGCACTTCTAGAAAGCAGGAAGAACCCAGAAAGGTGGGTCAGAGCCAGGCTATCTGGGGAGGGCAAAGGGAAGTCCCCTACAGAGGCAGCCCGAGGCTGGTCCAACCTGGGATGGCCCCAGCCCAGGCTGTCTCTTTCCTGCCACAGCCCCAAGGTGCTAACCCAGATGCAGGCGGTGCAGGAGGCCCACGTGGAGCTGCTGCGGAGGGCCCAGGGCAGGGGTCGAGGTCTGCAGGAGCAGCTGCAGCTCCACCAGCTGGAGCGGGAGGCCCTGCTTCTTGACACCTGGCTAACCACCCGGGTGGCCACCGCCGAGTCCCAGGACTACGGGCAGGACCTGGAGGGCGTCAAGGTGAGTCACTCCTGAGCAAACCTGGGGGACAGCGGATTGATGCCAAGGGCAAGGAAGGTTTGCCCTTAGGGATGAGAGGGATGCCAGGAGTGAGCAGAAGGGAGGTTGGGGGTGCATCTCTGGAGAATCCCTGCAGTTCTAGAACCCGGGCCAGGGATATCAGAGCCATTGGAGCCCACCAGGCCCTTCATGAGCTTCAAGAGCTGCCAGGCGCCGCCTCCACTGTGACCCTCCCTGGCCCCACACCCTTGCAGGTGCTGGAAGAGAAGTTTGATGCCTTCAGAAAGGAACTCCAGAGCCTGGGGCAGGCCAAGGTGCAAGCCCTAAGGGAACTGGCAGGTACCCTGGAACGGAGAGCACCCAGGTACTATCCCCGTATTCAAGCCCAGAGGAGCCACATTGAAGCCACTTGGGAGAGGCTGGACAAGGCAGTAAAAACCCGCACAGAGGTGGGTGCCCACGGGGCAGGTCAGGCCGAGACAGCCAGGGGGTGGGGGCAGCTGTGTTGGCTGCTGACACACCAGCGTGTGTGTGTGTGTGTGTGTGTGTGTGTGTGTGTGTGTGTGTGTGTGCGCGCGCGCGCGCGCGCGCACGCATGTGTACGGCATGGCTGCCCAGACTGCCAGCAAGCAGATCGCCTCGGTCTTCCCCTTCTAGTCCTCTCCACTTATTTGATTTCACACCTCCCGAGGAGAAACAGGAAGCATGTCTGGCCAGCTTCTGAATTCCTCTAAGCCCTCCCTAGGCATGGGCTTCAACACAAACAAGACACCTTGATGGCCTTTTCTGTTAACCACACACACTTACCTTGCATGGTCTCGCCATCACGTGACAAGCTCCCATCCTTCTCCCTTCCTGGTTCGGCTTTCTTCTAGGACCGTAGCTCTCAGCCACAGCTGGCAGTTTCTATCCAAGCAGCCCAGCTTCCAAAGCCCCTGGCAGGCCCCACAGCCCAGAAGTTTCCTTTCTCGGTGGGTGCTGCCCTGGAGCACCCTCCTGAGCTGCCCCTTCCTCCCCCCTACTCCCAGCCGCATCAGAAGTGGCGCTACCTAAGCCCCAGGCAGACCCGTGCCCCACTCTCCAAGACCTCACCCCTGCCTTTCGCATGAGAGGTGCTCCAAAGCAGCTCCTCACCTACACCCTAGGCCCTGTCCCACTGCAGCGACATCACATTCATTGAGGGCTGCCACCTCTGGGACATTTTCTGGACCTGGGGCTGGTCAATGTCACTAAGCCCTATGATCAAAAGGAGGTGGCCCAGAAGATCATGTTCCAGGGAGGAAGAAGCCCTAGGAGCAGTGCTCAGCCCTGAGCAGGCCCTTCCTCTCCTAGAACCTGGCTGCAGCCTGCGAGATCCTCGGCCTCGAGCAGGCAGCAGTCGAGCTCCAGGGCTGGATGCAAGAGAAGATGACCCTGTTGGAGGGAGATGACCGAGCCCATAGCCTGTCGTCTGTGCAGACCCTGCAGCAACAGCACCGACGCATGGAGGTGGGGACCTATGCCCTGTGGCCTGTTCATCTGAGCCCATCTCTGAAGGTGGAGGGCGTGGGGTCTCCAGAGGCAGGAGGTTTAGCTCAGACCCTCCCCCAGGTGATAGGTGAGGGCCCCTCCCACCCCAGGGACTGCAGCCTCAGCCTCCTCCCTAGAGACCCGTCCCCCCACCCCGGCACTTGGCCCAGGTTGTGGAGCAGAGTGGAGGTGGTTTCTCCAGGAGGCCCGGATGCTCCTAAATGGGGAGCACGCATCAGGTTAGTGGGGAGACTGACGCTGGATCTTGTGTTCTGCTTGCAGAGGGAACTGGCAGTTATGGAGGAGGTGGTGGCACGGGTGCAGTCGGAGGCCTGCCGACTGGGCCAGTTACATCCTGCAGCTCAGAAGGGCCTGGCCGTGTCACTGGCTGGGGTGCAGGAGGCCTGGGCCACTCTGGAGGCGAAGGCCCAGGAGCGGGGCCGGTGGCTGGCACAGGCTGCCCAGGGCCATGCATTCCTCAGGCGCTGCCGGGAACTGCTGTAGGTGTCCTGCCTTGGCTGTCAGCTCAGTCCTGCCCTGCAGGGTGGAGACATCCTGGCTCTTTGGGAAGCTGGGCTCTCCCTCTCCCCACTCAGCCTCCCTGCCCCTGCTCCCCAGGCTGCCCTGCCAGCCTTGACACTCCTTTCCCTGCCCCGCAGAACATGGGCTCGGGAGAGGCAGGCGCTGGCATCCTCCGAGGAGCTGGCTGGGGATGCAGCAGGGGCCAAGCAGCTCCTGGGGCAGCACGAGGAGCTGGGGCAAGAGATCAAGGAGCACTGCCTGCAAGCCCAAGACGTACAGCGGGAAGGGCAGCAGCTGGTGGACGACAGCCACTTCATGTCCCTGGAGGTGTGAGCCCAGGGTGGGCCTGGGGCTGAGCTGGGGATGGAGCCCGACTGCCTGCGGCCTCAGAAGCCCCCACAGGCATGGCGACCTGAAGGATGGGAAGGGGGCGAGGACGGAGAGGCCTGAGTGGGGAAGGTCCGGGTCTCGCAGCCTTCCCGCTGCCCCTCTAGTCGGCTCTCCAGCCTGCCCTGCCCAGGGTGGGGGCTCTACCCAAGCCCCTACCCACAGCAACCCTCCCCACCAGGTGACAGAGTGTCTGCGGGAGCTGGAAGGGCGGCTGCAGGAGCTTGAGGAGGCCTGGGCCCAGCGCCGGCAACGCTGCGTGGAGAGCTGGGGCCTGCAGAAGCTGCGGCAGGGGCTGGAGCAGGCCGAGGCCTGGCTGGCCTCCCGGGAAGGCCTCCTGCTGGAGCCCGACTGCGGGGTGAGTTGGGGCCCAGGGCACATCCTGCTGCTTCTTCGCCCACCGGCCACCAGGCTGGGGCGTAAGGGAGGCAAGCTGTCGACCCACCAGGAGGGGCCTCAGCCTGGTGTGCTTCTTTCTCCCCAGCACTCGGTGTCGGACGTGGAGTTGCTGCTCCGCAGACACCAGGACTTAGAAGAGCTGCTGGCAGCCCAGGAAGAGAAGTTGGCCCGCCTGCTGGGGAAGGCAGAGGTGAGGGGCGCCGGGGTGAGGGCCTCCAAGACGGGGCCTGGTATGTGGGAACAGTCCCTCTCGGCCTGCGAGTCAGGGCTCCCAGCCTCGAGCCCTCAGCCCATCGTCCCTCGGGGCTTGTCCCCTGGCCAGCTGCTGTGGTGGGGTAGTGGGATAGGAGGAGGGTCTCCTGGCCCAAAGCCAGAAGAGGTGAAGCACTATGAGGCAGGGGACACACTCCGAGTGGGAGGGACTGGGAGGAGAGGCTGGCTGGAGCCTGTGGCCTGAGGCAACGGCCAGTCCACCCCACCCGGCTCCTCGCCTCAAGGTGGCACAGCAGCTGCTGCCACAGGGGCAGGGGCTGAAACCCGGGAGACTTGGCAGCCCACAGACATCCTTTCAGCAGATACCTGCTGAACACTGGGGGCCAAGAGCACAGCTGGCTGAGACCCGCGGCAGCCAGATGTCCCCATCGGACTACACATGCCCTTCGCCATCATCTCCCCGGAGTGTGCAGTGGGACAGCGGGAGCCCAGAGGGGCTGGGGCCATGGGGGTGAGGGCCACACCCTGGAACCAGCACTGAGGCGCCATGGCCGGATGCACTGGGCATAGGAGCTGAGGGTCATCAGGAATAAGGTCAGGGAGGGGCAGGTGCCTAGCCCGCCCTCCAGAGGACACTGGTTCTGATGTTTCCTGGGCCCAATCTTGTGTTTTCAGGGCGCAGAGAATGCCCCCACCAAGGAGGGGCCTTTGGGGCTTCAGCAGCCCCTGCCTGGGAGAAGGCAGGTAAGGGCCAGGGGAGTTCGTCTTCAGGCAGCCCCTCCCTCGCAGAACCACGCAAGGGGCTCAGAGGGGCCATCTGGGCCTGGCCCCCTGGCACTGTGCACTTGGGTAGATTCCCCCTGCTCTCGGGTCCGTTTGGCTGCTCAGGGGCCACTTCACCGCTTCTGCCCCCACCCAGGAGGGGTGGGGCTCCTCTTCCCTCTTGCTTTTCTTCCTCTTCTTGCTCTTCAGAGCCCCTCCCTGGCTTCCTTTTTCCCATGGGTACTTTGGTCCAATCCAGTACATTTCCTGGGAGGCTCCGCAGACATGTGTCAGGTGGTTTATTTTTATTTTATGATTTTTTCTTAGAGACGGGTCTTGCTATGTTGCCCAGTCTGGCTTCAAACTCTTGGGCTTAAGCAGTCCTTCTGCCTCAGCCTCCTGAGTAGCTGGAACTATAGGCGTATGCCACCATACCCAGCCTCTCATGGGCTTTGACAAGGCCTAGCTGTAGCTCCCCTCTGCATGAGGCTGTGCAGCCTCACTGCCTTCCCTCCACAGCGCAGCTTGGGCACCTGGGACAGCTGCTATGGGACTTGGGGGGCAGCTCCCTGAACCCGTTCTCAGATGAAAGGATGGCAGCAGAGGTACCAGCCAGCAAGGAGGACGAGGATGGGAAGCTAGAGACAAGAAGAAGGGGCCAGAGGACAGAAAGGGCCACATGGGGAAAAGCTGAGATGGCCACAGTGACCCCTGCCCCTCATCTCTCCTCAGAAAGTGGCTTCCATGGCCCTGCGTGACTTCACAGGAGCCCAGGGTGAGAGGCTGAGGGACCAGCATGGCAGGAAACACACTTTCTCCTTAAGGTGAGGGGAGAGGCACTGACTTAGACAGGCATGGCCTCCCAGCAGCTTCCTGGCTAACAGGGGCTGAAGGCAGGGATCCCCAAGGGGGAGGTGAAGCATTTGACTCACGGCTGTCTGGGCACCAGGCTGAGCAGTGGGGCGGAGATCCTGTTTGCAGCACCATCCGAAGAGCAGGCTGAGAGCTGGCAGCAAGCCCTGGGCGGCGCAGCAGGTGGGCTGCAGGGGGAGGACTGGGGCTGGGGTGCTGATTCCCTGGGCCCTAAGCTCCTGGTGCCAATGTGTTTTATGCATCCTGGGAAGTTGTACATCTACTGTTTCTAACCCTTGAGAAGTGGGACTTAGTGCCTTTTCTTAGTTCAAGAATTTAAAGCCAGAGAGGTTAAGCAACTTGCCCAAGATCACACAGCTAACGAACAGCAGCGGTAGGGCCAGTTCTGACCCCCAGCTGCATCGTCCTGGTCCTGTTCTGCCTCTTTGGAGGCTGCCACTCTTGAGACTCCCCCACTCCCTTCCTGCCAGCATCCTCGTGGACTGTCCTCCCAGGGCTCTCCAGGCTCTGCTCCATCTGATCCTGGGGGTTCTTTAGCCATCTCATCCTCAGGCAACTCGGAATGTCACCTCTCTTGGGCTGCTCTGCAGACAGTGGCCAAGCCGGGTTCTACCACCAGGAGGAACACAGGGAAACACCCCGCTAGGGCTTTCTCTCTTCGTCATGGCCTGCCCAAGCTCCGTGTAGAGGGAATGTGTTCAGGGAATGTCCTGGGTGCTGGGCTCCTTCCAGTCTCTCTGGGACCCAGCTCCATTCCTCATCCATGTCTGTTTCCCCTGGACTCACCCCCAAGATTGTCTTCACAGAAGCCCGGAGGGACCTTGAGCTTCTCCATTTCCGAATTCCCCACCTCCTCCCGGCTGAGCCTTTCTTAGTTCATCTGTGCTGAATCTGAGTGGGCAGCATGCATGGGGGACCCTGCCTGTGAGGGCTCGGCCGGCACTGCGCCTCCACACAGGAGAGAGCAAGGAGCCTATTCGGAGTCAGCTGGCCATGGAGGGCCTGGTGTCAGGGCCAGGGTTGACAGCTTGAACCTCTCTTGCTCTGCTGCCCCGAGTCTGAGCCCAGAGCTCAAAGCCAGACCTGTCGGCTTCCCGGTGCTGCTGAGAGGCAACTTAGCTCCGACCCTCTGCTCATGTAGGACACCTGGGCAGGGGCTGGGGGTGCCCTGAGCCTCCGTGACTGGCAGACATGCCCTCCTAAACCCAAGGTCCTGGGACCCAGACCTACTCTGCCAGGATGGGGGAAGCCCTAGCGCCCCTGCTCACTCTCAGCTGTGACAGCAGAGTCCAGGCCACAAGACTCCCTTTCCCCGTGGACTCAGTGGCTGTCCCTTCCCCAGGGCTCACCACACACCCTCCACACTGGGGGAGGCCCTGCGGGTAAGGCTGCACAGGGCTTCCTGCTCTGGCCAGTCCTGTGTGAACTGGTGGCCCTGAGCCCAGGTCTCCCTTTGCACACGGCGGGGCAGTTTGCCTGGATTTGGCCGCCCGGGGCCCACACGCTCCTTACTTCGTCTCCTCCTGCTTTCTACCCACGACAGAGCATGTGTTTGCAGAACAACTAGACCCTTCTCCACCCTTGCTTGGACCACTGTTCTCTGCCTCAGTTCCTCCTGCGTTCCTCAGTCCCCACTCCAAGGGGACAGAGAGGAACCAGGAATCAGCATGTCCCTGGGGCTATGGACCAGGGATGGGGAAACACAAAGGTGGATGTGTAGGAACAGATGGCTCTCATCCAGGTCCTTGGCCTCTTCTTGTAGATCTGGCACCATTAGACGCTCACCCCTCACGCATCTCTTTCCCACTTCCAAGTCAGTGGGCATTCAGATCTCCTGGACGGGGGACACTTGGGATTAGCTGAAAACGGGCAAGGGTCTGGAGACAGGCAGGGACGAGCAGGTCTTTCATGTGTGGACGCCTAAGCCCAGGGTGAGCCTAGATATCACACAGCCACGTGTCTGGAAGGCTCCCACCACAATGGGTGGCAGCCATGGCTGTGGTCTCTGGCATCATCGTCCACTCCCACTGGGCTCAGATGATACATTGCTGAAGGGACGGGCCTTGATCTGGACACACTGGCTTGAGGCTACCAGGATAGCCATTTCTTCTGCTCTGGGACGCCAGCCACGTGCCAGGACAGGGCCTTAGCTGCTGGGCCAGGGCTGACATGGCGTGAATCGGGCTGTGGGAATTTAGGCAGTTCCCTCCCACTCACCCCACACACCTGTAGTCGCTGCCGTGGCTGCCTGTCAGCTCCCAGACATACTCTCCACACTCATCCTAGGAGGCGGGCTATTCCAGGAGAGGCCAGAGGGCAGGGGCACCAGTGGTTGGAGAAGATTCCAGAGTGGCCAGGCCCTAAATTCACTCTGCCTTCCTGTTTTCCTGGTAGGTCTGGGCCCTGAGGTGAACCCCAAGGCAACACCAAACTTCAGGGCTACAAGCGAGGACACCTCAAGGGCACCAGAATGAGACTCAGCTACAGACACAAGGGGACTGTCCTCTGGCTGCTCAGACCCAGGCTCTGCCCCAGGCCAGGCCCAGGACCAGCTTCTGGAGTAGACGGTTCCTTGTGAGAAGACGGTCCCCACCAAGGTCCCAGCCTGAAGTTACGCGCCTGTCGCTGGTCTCTGACTCATCTAGCCACCCCATCATGTGACAGGAAACAGCTGTCTGATGGAATTCTCGGCCTCACCCTGCTTCCCTGCTTGGGTGACCAGTCGGGTGTTACAACAGGACAGGTGGGCAGGGCCTACAGCAGCAGAAACCCCCCAGGCCGCCTCCCTGCATGGAACTGGTGGCCCTGAGCACAGGCAGACATGGGTGTTGAGCAGATGCCCTGTCCTCAGGGAGCCCACACCGGTGAGTTCTGCAGGTGCCTGGGAGAAATGTTTTGTCACTGTGTTTTAAACCAGTCCTTTCCGTGTATGACCACGAGCCTGGAAGGCCATGCCCCTCCCAGCAGTAATGACAGATCACCTCACTAGTGCTTCGCATCTGTGAGTCTTTGTAATGCATGACGTGTGCAACGGTACAAGACGGCATGAAAGGGAATGCAGAGGCAGGCAGCAGGGCTCTGAGTGCTCACATAGGCACGGTCAGTGCTGCTCGGGCTCCAGCCAGTATGTCCAGATCAAGGCCCCAACCTTCAGCCTCCTTATCTGTGAGCCCCCACTCCTCCCCCTGCTCCAAGAGGAAGTCAGTTGCAGCCCACTCCATTAGACACCTGTGACTCTAGGGGATGAGCATCTTGCTCCGCCATGAAGGAGGGAGGGCCCTAATCCTCCGCTCACAGCCTCCAGCCTGCCAGAGGGCACAGGTGCTCAGCCTGGACCCTTTGGCAGGGTCCCTAGTGGCTTCAGTGCTGCGTCTGGGCAGTCCTGGGCCTACACCTCGGTGGAGCTGTGATTGGGTCACCTGAGCCCCCTGAGGCCCTGGAACAGTGGGTGATGATAGTCCCCATCCGCAACTCAGAGCAGACAGGAATGAGCCCGGAAGAGACAAGGGAGGGTAGGGCCAGGGCGCGCCTCCCCCACCGGCCATCACTGGGGCCTGCGCTGCTGCCTGTGCTGCACAGCCTGACGCAGGGCCTCCAGCAGCTGTGCCCGGTTGTTGCAGATATTGTAACGCGTCAGGCACAGCAGCTTTTCCACGTCCTCCTGGCTGTAGGTCACCTTTGTGTAGTGGTAGGGGGAATCAGATGAGGACAGGTTCACCTCCCCAGCCGCTGCCTCCTCGGGGGCCCGCCGCACCCCTATGGAGAGAGCACAGCCTGGGCAGAAGGGAAGTGCACTGGGGGTGGAGGGCGGGTGTGGGGTCACCTTCAGAGAGGCATAAGGGATGGAGGTGCGAGGCATACAGGGGGCCCAGGGTGCCGGGAGGGGGACAGTGGCTCACCAGGGGCCGAGTGTTCACGAAAGGAGTCGTTGACCAGAGGGAAGTGCAGCACCACGGGGGCTTGGGGCTGGGCAGGGTCGGAGAAGGCATGGCACTCCCGAGGCTGGCACTGCTCTTCGGGGCTGGGCAAGACGGGTGGGAATGGGATCCCCTGCTCCTGGCAGAACTGGCCCAGGAGCTGCAGCTGCTGCAGGACAGGCAAGAGGGACAGGGAGGGCAGGATCCCATGGGGCCCTAGCATCCTCAGTGCTGGGCTGACTGAAAGCGGAGACTCACTAAGACACATAGGACTTGTTTTTGTTTTTTTGGTTGGGGCTTGAATGCCAAGTCAGAAACTCTAGCGGACCCAACAAAGGGCAGACTATGAAAATCACGCTCCAGGGTAGCCCTTTCGGGTCCCCTCCCACTGTGGGAGCTTTTCTGTCCTCTCAGTAAATCCTGCTTTCTAAAAAAAAAGAAAAACATGCTCTAAACCTGCCAGCCCTTCCAGTGCAGTTCCTCCGGGGCTGGGCTGAGCCAGGCTGCCACCGACCCTCCAGTTCTGAAGTTGAGATGCAAAACCCTCTCACTGAATCCACATAGAAACTCACAGCAGGTGGCTCCCAGAGGTCTAAGACCTTCCAGGGCTGCAGGCACAGCAAAGGGGGCCCAAATACAGAATACCTAGGAAACATCACCAGCCTCCCCGCCACTGCCACTTTCTGAGCAGCATAAGTTTCCTGGGGGTGAACTCATAGAATCCAGTGTTCCATTCACATGCTGTCGCTATCACAGCTCCCAAGGAAGCTGGACCAGATCTACTGAGGCGGATCTCTCCAGGGGCAGGAGCCAGGTACACGGGGTGGGCCCAGGGTCACGCACTGCTGCCCCGCCTGCCCCAACATCCCAGGTCCCACCTGTCCCACAAGAGGTCCTCCCCGCCCCCCTCCAACCTGAAAGGCTCCGTGGAGGTTGTAGTCCAGTGACAGGATGAGGTCCACATCCCGGGTGGGCTGCAGGAGGGGTGGGCAGCTGGTGTTGATGAGGTAGCCGACATCCAGCAGGCACAGGTGGGCCTCCACAGGCGTCAGCTGGTTGGGGAGCCCGTCCAGCTTGGTGGCTGGAAAGGTTAGGGTGGGAGGAGCAGCAGCTGTCATGGATACGAAGGGCACCAGCCACCAGATTCCTCCTGGCAGAGACTCTGCTCTCTGGCCCCTGTTCTCTCTTGCTGAAGCCGCTTCCCCACAGCCCACAGCCCTGAGGGGGGCCCTGTGTCCCCAACGCAAGGAGAAAGAAAGGGAGCCCCTGCTCCAAGCAGTCCAGGAACTGAGCTCCAAGGCTGTGGTGCCAAGGGGAGGGTATGGGAGTGGACAGAGAGGGTGTCTGGACCGGGGACTCAAGGCTCGGGTGGCCATGGGAAGACTTGGGAGAGAAGCACAAACCTTTCCAGGCGGAGAAGTGAGGGTGCTGGAAATAGTCTTTGTGGAAATGGAGGCCACGCAGGAAATTGTGTGTGGCTTGGGCAAGCGGGCGCCTCGTCAAGAGGTCAGTGAAAAACTCGGCTATCCTGCCGGCAGCTGTGGGCGGCTCTTCCACCTTCAGAAGGGGGACCTGCTCCTTGTCTGCACAGGCAAGAGAGTGTGGGGGGAATGGGTATCTTTCAGGACTCGGGGACCCCTGGACCTCGATCCCAGCCTTGGTGTGACCCTGGAGGAGAACAGTGAAGACCCACCCCATCATCCCTTTGCATCCTTATGAAGGAGCCCGAGCACCTACCCAGGCTGATCTGATGCTGGACCCAGCGGTCCCAGAACTGGCTGGGCTCTGAGGCCCAGTACAAGCTGTCCTGGAGGTTGGCTGCGTACAGGTTGCTCCAGATACCTGAAAGAGCAGATGTGAAGGGAAGAGTCCCCCAACCCCGTCACAACCCACCTCTTTGCCGCGGCCCATCCTAGCCCAGGAAATGTCCCAAGGACTGAGCTGGGGAGGCTGAGGACCTGCCCTCTCTCCTGGCCCACTCTCCCGGCTCCGCCCAGCTTGCCCAGCTTCTCCAGCTTTCCCGATGACCTCACCCTCTAGGTAGCAGATGCGGGACTCTGGGAGCCTCTTCATCAGCCGTCCCATGAAGAACTCCGAGCCAAAGAGCTCGGAGGGGACGAAGGCCCCGTACTTGGGGAAGCCGACTTCGTAGGGGGAGAACTCGCACCACTCTGTGAAGAGGCCACGGCCTCAGCCTCGGGGCCCGGTGCCCTGAGGCGTCCGCACACCCACCCAGGCTTGCCTTCAATAGGGACCGAGAGGCTCTGGTCTTGCTGCTGCTGCTCTTAGCATGGGACCTAAAGTCCTTGCCCCCATCCCACAGGCCTGAGGAACCCCAGTGGGATGACAATCCCAGTCCCCTGAAAAGCATGGGACCTCGCCCAGGGGAGGTGGGTGTAAAACCCACCACCTACACACAGGCCCAGTTACCTGTGTACCCCACCAACCACGAGAGAGCAGAGCTCAGTTCTGGGGCCACTCACCCCCAAATTCAAAGGTGGTCAGGCTTTGCCCCTTGGTGTTGAGGGCACAGTAGATGGGCAGAGGGTTCTGGCCGCGGCTCAGGGCCTCCCGTTGATCTGAGAGTTTGTGGTCATGAGGCTGGGGAAAGAGGACTGGACCCTAAACTCACAGCTTCCTGCTGTCTGGAGCCTTTCCCACCCCTGCTACTCCGGACTATGGCAGCTCTGCCCCCAGGCTGCACCCCACACACCTCATCGTGCAGCAGCGCCTCATTGATGAGGGCCCAGAGGTTGGTAAAGCAGGCCGGGTAGCCCTGGCGGGCATGCTCGGCCAGCTCCTGCCGATACCGCTGCAGCTGGCTGGGGGCCAGCACACCCAGCTTGCTCTTGGTCACCTGACTCTTCAGCAACTTGGTGGGCCCTGCCAGGTCCTTCTGAGACCACTCTGGGTCCTCATAGAGGTTGGCTAAGGCCCTGGGAAAAGTCAAAAATGGGGCGGGAAGCCTGTCAGTTAATGACCCCATCCATGCGAGGACGTGCCTCAGGCTTCCTCTTCTAGGACAACAGTCCGAAAGGGACCTTCAGGGTTCCCCCAGCACATTCCTCCCTGGCACATGCATTTCCCAGTCATTCTGGAGGCCTACGGAGCCCAGGAGAGCCTTCCCACCAGCTCCCCTGCCACCGCCCAACCACCCCTGCAGGTTCCAGCAGTCAGCCCGCCTCCAGCTCACCAGGTGGAGCCTGAGGCCCCTGTGATGTAGGAGACGCAATCCAGGAGGCCCAGCTCCTTCAGGCCGGCCAGCTGCCCGTACAGGGAGGTCATTGCCCGGATCCCACCACCAGTGGCCATAATCGCTACCACTGGGATCTGGAAGAGAGGAAGCCAGGCTTAGAGAGGCCCTAGGGATGGGGAGAGCTAAGCCACAGGAAGAGGAGGTAGCAAGCCAACTGGCCGCTTAGCTCGCCCTACAGCCAAGGCCTGTCAAAGTCTGATCGGAGGCCTTGGGACAGCTCAGAGTCAGCCCTCATGAGCATCGAGTCACAAATGGCCTCCCAAGGGTCAGGCTTCTGCAGTTGGAAGAGCTCCAGGAACAATGGCCGAGACAAACTCCAGGCCTCAACTCCTCACTTCAAGTCCCTGAGTCTGATGATCACTTTCTGGAAGCCTCAGGGCCTCCTCAAAAGTCTCCCAAATAGCCAACTCTTGCAAGAAGTCACACCCAGGAGATGATCCGAGTGAATCTGAATCTCCTGGGAACACGCCAGGCCAGCAGGCAGTCCTCACTGTCTCACTCATTGGTCAGACTGAGCCCAGTCTTAAAACTTGGGCCTGGCTGAGGGCCAAGAAACAAAAGGGAAAGCCAGCCTGGCAAGGAAGTTTCTGCCTGCAATGCTCTGCTCATATCAAGCCCCTGCTGACAGCAAATGAGAGGGAAGCAGCTACAAGCGCTGCTCTGAGTATGGAACAGCCAGCTCCAGCATTCTGCACTGAGCTCTAGGCCTGTGCAAGCCTGGGACACTCCTACCCAGCCCCCAGACCTCATCCTCCTGCAGGTCTCCATCCAGCTGCAGGGCCTGCTTCAGGGCTGCAGCCACCACCTGCTTCCTCCTGCTCAGGAAGGCCCGCTCCTCGGCACAGGGCCCACAGCCCAGCCGCACGGCCAGCTCCCGTGGCCTACAGAGGGAGGAAGAGACCGGGAGGCAACTCTCAGCACCCTCCCCATCCTTCCAGAAAGGGAAGCTATATCTACCTCACCTGCAAAGCCCACTGGCCCCTCTCCTCTCCCCAGCTCTCACTATGACGCTTGTGTCGTGAGGGGCTGGGGCCTGACATCTGTGGAGCGTGAGAAGGCGAACCCAGACCCACGTGCGGACGCATCAGGGAAGGCAGCAAGACAGACCCATGGGACAGGGAATGCCGGGATGGAAGAGGTCACTTTGGATCCCGAGTGCAGACAGGCCCCAGGTAGGACGTGACACATGCATCCCACCTCCCAGTCTCGGCTTATCCCCGTTACCCACCGAGTCCAAAACAACAAAGAGCCATCAATCCTGTCTCTGCGTGCTGAGAAGCTACTCTCCCCAGACACGGAGGGCCAGGTTGGGCGACGACTCTATGAAGGTCACTTAAGGTCCAGCCAAAACAGCTTCTGGCCAAAAGGGCAGAATCTCTCCTCTCTCCTCTTGCCCTCTCTGTGCCTCACCTCCCCACTTGTCTTCCAGACAAACGTTAATCAAGTGCTTTCTGAATGCCTGGCCCTGGGCTGGGAACATAACCCCTCCGACTTCACATGCTAAGGCTCCCTCCCTCCTGCATCCCCATCCTCGCTCTGCTGGGAGCCAGCAAGCATCTGCTGAGAAGAGCGGCAGCTGTCCTGTGAGCTGCCCTGTTTCTCCTCCTCACTCCTCCAGGCCACGCCATGTGGCTTCCTCCTCTCCCTGTGCCTTCCCGTGGCCTTGCCCTTCCCCAGGCCTCTCACCTTTCTTCTTTCTTCAGCTCCACCCTCATCAGGGGCTCCTGAAAACGACGAGGGCACAGGTCACAAAGGCTGGCCACCTCCACTCAGCTCCAGTCCCCTCACCCTGGCCCCAGGTGCAGCCCCAGGAGGACCCCATGCTCCTTAGGCGCCCAACCATCTCTGCAGGGACCAGGCCTGAAGCCAGAGGCAGGGAGGCTCAGAGTACACTTCCCCACGAGCCTGGCCCCAGCACCCGTCCAGGGTGTGACCTGCAGAGGAGTGGCTGCAGAAGCAGGCCACCCCTTCATGCCTGGGCACCCCTGGCCATGCACTGGCTTCCTCCTCCGGGTGACCAGTACCTGGGATGTGGGGAAGACGAGCCTAACCACCTGGCCAGAGGGCAGGGCCCTCAGTGGCACCTTCAGTTGCTCCTGGGGGGCGTCCTGCAGGGGGAATGGAGGAAGGAGACCTGAGAATTTTCACCCTTCCCCTCCTAGCGGGGACCTCATCGACTCCCCTGGAGGCAACAGAGGAGCGGAAGGGAGGGGGATGAGGGGCCAACCGGGCCCCACACTCTCTGCCCAGGGTGCCTAGTCTGCCAGGGAGTGGGTGGGGGAGGCGGGCTTCGGGTTGAGCAGTGTCAAGCTGGAGGCGGTGCTGAGGGAAGGAGGGGAAGGCTCAGGGGTCCTGCTCAAGGGACCAGGCTCACTACCTGCAGATGAATGCCCAACTCTTGCTCCCAGCCGGCTGGGGAATGGAAGCAGAAAGTGCCGGCGCCCACAGAGGCCTCCTGCGCACCCTCATAGGACCCGGGGACCACAAGCCGAACTCTGCGCTCCGATGCTGGAAACAAGGACAAAGCAAAGAGGCTGGGAACAGTGCCCCTACCCATGGAGCCCCTCGTCTTACTGAGGAACCTAGAGGGCACTTCCCTCTCCCTGTTGAAATGGAGAGCTGGCCCGGGGCGAGGCTGGGAGACGGAGCCCCTGCCACAGCCCCTCTAAGAAGGACCAGGGAAAGCTCAGGTCCAGGGCAGTCCCAGCATGGATTTACCCAGTCCCTAAACGGGGAAGACAGAGGCTGAGGGCTGGGGGCTGTCCCAGGGGGACAGGGACTCACGCTTCTGGTCCCCTGTCTCCTCCAGTCGGACATGTAAGCAGGAGAGTTCCCGGGCCTGAGTCATTAAGAGAGCCCCTCAGACACTGACCACTCCCCTGCTCAGGGTCCCTCATCCTCCCAGCACCCCGGTTCCCACTCATCTGCACTTTACTTCGACCCCGAGTCACCAAGCATTTGCTTGAGACTGTATTCCCTTGATGAATTAAAGTACTCAGCTCTATCCAGCTCCACGCAGTAGTGGGCCCGAGCCCCAGGCCCAGGGAGAAGAGCAAGCACGGCAGGAGGGGTTCCCAGGGACCTGGCCCAGCTTCCAGAGCTGTGTACACTCACCACGAGGATGCCGTTGCTGATGAGCTGCTCAGCACCATCTGTCCTGAAAAGAGGCCCCAGTGACCTTAGCAGGAGTCTAGGCACTCAGGGTCTCACTCCCCTCGGAGACCTGGGCATCCCTCCTCCTCCAGGGAAGGGCACCAGCTCTGGGCTGTCCTTCCAGGAGGCACTCCCACCCAGAACTGTCCTGAAGCCCCGACTCACAGACTCTGCAGCCGAAATTCAACTTCTAGCCGCCCCTCATCCTAGGGAGAGAGAGAGAAACAAGTTAGAAAGAGTGAGGTGTGTGCTTGTGTGTGAGCATGGCCGCGTGCGTGAGCATGACTGTGTGTATGTGTGCATGTGCATATGAGTGCACTATGTGTATCTGTGGCCATGTGTGTGCATGTGACCCGATGTGTATGTGAGCGTGACCATGTGTGCGTGCAAGTGAGTATTCCTGCATGTATGCATCTGTGTGAACATGACCATGTGTGCATGGGAGTGCCACCGTGTATGTGTGCACGTAAGTGTGACTGCGCATGCATGTGTGTAGATGCCAACCCAGACACCAGCTGGAGCCTTGCCTGAGGGCTCAGTGAGAAGCTCTCACGTCGGAACGCCCCAGCCTGCAGAACCCCCACGTCAAAGAGCACTGACAACAGAGAATCATCTTTGGTCAGCAGGTCCTGGTCAAAGACTTTCAGTTCCACGATGTTCTGGAAGGGGAACAGAGTAGGAGGGCCGCGGGAAGAAAAGGTGAGTAGGGAAGGTGATCAGGACAGGGAATGGGGGGTCAAGAGGATCAGTGGCAGTGGGTGAATGGGGATAGTGAGTAGGGCCGGGACTGACCCTGGCCTACCTTGAGCTGGCTGTGGATTCGGAAGTGAAAGCTCTGGTTCCAGACGGGGTTTCTGCTGTTCTTGACCGTGCGCGTCTGGAGCCTGTGGCTAGAGGCCGTGGGCAGCCAGACAGTCACGTAGCAGTCTGAAGGGGTCACTGCAGGAAGGAGGAACAAGTGCCCCATGATGGCCAAGAGCCCTCTCCAGCCGTCACCTGGAGCCCTGTGTGGGATGGGCCTGGGTGGGAAGAGGAGAGGCAGAGCCCTAGCTGCTCCCTTCCCCTGGGAACCTCCTCTCCGCACACTTCTCCAGGCCCCGCCCATTGGTGCTGCGCTCTCTGAACTCGGGGGGCAGTACTCTCCTCCTCTCTGGGCCCAGGATAGGGACAGGGAGGCACGCGCTCACCTAGGTCCTTAGAGGGCAGGCCACGGGCCTGGAGAACACGAACGGTGAGCAGGTAGGTCTCAGGTAACTTTGCCTGCAGAGGAGAAACAGGGGCAGGCTTGCTGCAGGATAATGGGGTCAAAGGGAGCAGGGGCCGCCAGGGAGCGGCAGTCCTGAAGCAAAGGATCAGGCCCACTCAGCCCTAGGCCCGTCTGCCCTCCCATCAGAATCCTGAATCGACAGGCGACACCGCACCTCCACGATGCCTGCCAGACTTACACAATGCTCCATGCTGGCTCTGGGCCAAGGGCTTCACAGACACGAACTCGCTTACACACAGTGGAGCGTGTAGTACTACTATACGTGGGTACTGCTTTTAATGACCAACCCCACAGGTAAACTGAGGCACACAGGTGAAGTAGCCACTTGCCTGAGGCCCAGAATCTGGATGGGAACCCACGCATCCCCAGCACACTTCTCTAGGCCCCGCCCACTGGTGCTGCTCTCTCTGAACTCCCCATTCTACTTCCCAGGTATGGTACCCTTCCATCTTTCCACCCCACACCCTTGTTGAGGGAGGGGAAGTGGCGTTTCAGGGTTTGGGGCCCCCGGCTGACCTGCTCCCTGTACTCTCTACCCTGATCAGAAGACCATCCTGGAAATGGGCTCTCTGTTGGGCAGAACAGCAGCTGCCAGCTCAGACTGCCCACAGGTTGTCCAGTCCTCCAGGTCCCGCAGGGTCAGGCTGAAGACGGCCTCAGGGAGCTCCTGACAAACCCACTCCTTGGTTCTGGGAATGCAGAACCTTGGTTCTGCCATGTGTGCCAAGGCCAGGGAAGCCTATGTCAACTTGTCCTTCCTTTTGGCCTTCAGCCTGCCCTCGGAAGGACCATGACGGATCAAGTCTAGGGAGCAACCTGGTTTGGGACAGAGCTGGGGAAGTGTGTCACCTGTCAGCCCTGGGGCCCCCACACCCCAGCAACTGAGTCAGAAGGCTCGCTGAAGCAGCCACTTCCTTCTGGGGCCTCAGGAAGCAGCTGGGAGCCTGAGTTCCCAGGGCCCAAATCCACCACACCAGGAGCTCTGCCTGGAGTTTACCCTAGGGCAGAAAGAACTCAGGACAGATTCCTCATCCCAGGACCCTCCTCTCCCCCGGCGTCGGCTCATGCCAGGAAACACCCCCCCCACCTGCAGAAGACCACGGCTCCTCTAACAAACAGCATCAACCAGGCCCTGGGTGAGGACCAGGGATCAGAGTGGGGGCCCAGTGCCCTGCAGAGCCTTACCAAAGCCATGAGGCTGAGTCCACAGGAACAGGAACGATGGGGCAGTGGCCGCAGGACCAAGGACTGTCAGCTTTTTAGCCAGAAATCTGCCAGCCAGCCTCAGCTGCTCTCTGGTCCCTCCCACACGCCTCCTCTGCTCCACCCAGGCCCACACCCACTCCTGGACCAGCCACCTGTCCAGGAAATGAGGCACCTTAAACCTGTACCACAGCCACTGACACCCTTGTGTCGGGGACTCAGCATCCTGCCCGGCTCCCGGGACCTGCTCTCTCCAGCCATGGGCACCTGGGCCTGTCCCACCAGCCCTGTGCTCCCAGCCCCGTTTTAGAGGAGGGCTCTCCCAGGAGAGCTGTTGCCAGGGCCTGAGCAGAAGGAAAGCCATTGGTGGCCCCAGAGCAGCAGCAGAGACATGCCAAGTGCCCCATGGCAGGGCCTTTCGCAACCTCTGGTGCCAGTATGACAGGAATGCCTGGTCTTGGCTGCAGCAGCAAGCACCCAGGCCCCATCGCTCAGGCAGGGAGTGGCTGTCACATAAAACAGCCCTTCAAAGCTGGGTGCTGGGCTGCCTCCAGCACATGAGGATGAGGCCTTCTGCTGGCACTCAGGTGGGGGGGCTCTTCTGTCTCCTGGGCCTGGCTTGTGGGGGGTGGGGTCAGATTATGGAGACCAAGCTCTCCTCAGAGGGACAGGTCTAGGAGGGTTATTGTGGGAGAAATAGGGGCTAACTTCCAGGGCACCAGACTCCACCAGCTTCCTGGAACTGGGGGAGAACAGGAAACCAGGCCAGTGTTACAACAAGATTGAGGTCTTGCTTGCCTCATGGAGGGCCGCAGTGGCTGTCAGACAGAGGGATTTGGACAGCGGACAGCTCCTCAGACCCAGGCCCAGATCTGACCCTCACCTCCAGTGAAGGTCACTTTCACATTTTTACCTGGACCCTCAGGCCCTCACCAGGCCACAGAAGGCAACCGCAAGAGAGAGTAGCAGAACACGACTCACAGCTACCCTTTATTGAATACTTCCTCTGTGCGGGTCCCATGCTGGCCCTTACAGATATCATCCTCAACCCCACAGCAGCCTGTAAGGCAGGGTCATTATTATCTTTCTTTTATAGACAGGAAGGACATCTATGCTCCAAGAGCAGTGACTCATCCAAAGTCACAGCACTGCTGCGCCTGACACCTGCTCCTCCTCCTCACCTGTGTGGCAACTTCCTGGGAGCCCTCACCCAGACCTGCCTGGTACTTTGAGTCCTCCCGACCACATCCCAAGATCCTCCAAAGTTGATTCCAATACCCTGGACCCCGGGCCAGGAGCCAGCACGCCAACTCCAGGTTGTCTCTAGAACTGTCTCGGCCAGGAAGGGGCCCAATATTTCCCCTAAGTCGTGCTGGGCAGTGTTTGCCAGGGCTCTGTCAGTCGAGGCCTGAAGCCTTAGTGAGAGAGTCAAGCAGCTGGAAGTAACTGTACTTGAGGTCATACTCCATGTCATACCAGAAGTTCACTGTGGAGAGAACAGGGATCTGAGCACAAAGGTTCCTCTTCTTTTTCTTTTTCTTTTTTTTTTAGTCAGAATCTCACTCTATCGCCCAGGCTGGAGTGCAGTGGTATGCTCATGGCCACCGCAGCCTCAACCTGCTGGGCTCAGGTCAATCGTTCCACCCCAGCCTTCACACAGCTGGAACCACAGGCGGGGCTACCACACCTGGCTAATTTTTTAAAATTTATTGTAGAGATAAGGTTTCACTGTCATGTTGCTCAGGCTGGTCTCAAACCCCTGAGCTTAGGCAATCCTCTCGCTTCTGCCTCCCAAAGTGCTGGGATTACAGGCTTGAGCCACTGCATCCGGCCAAAGGTTCTTTTTCTGACCTAGAACCTCCCAAACCTCGCCCTGAGATGTCATGCTGGGCCTTGGCAGGGCCTGCCCTCACCTGCAATGCAGCCATGGGATTGCTGGACGTGGTGGAACCACAGGGATGGCAGGTAAAGCATCTCACCAGCCTGCACCGTGCAGCGAAGGGCCTGGGCTTGACTGTAACTGGGAAACCGGACCAAGTCTGGAGCCAAGGGGTCCAGTGGGATCCAAGGCACCTGAGAACACATCGGATGCCCCAAGACCCCCACCTTCAGGCTCTGTTCTTTCCACAGGTCCTGCTCTGCTTAGCATTGAAAGGCCCCAGACTTACGGACTTATCAGAGCAAGGTGCCACCTCCTCAGACCGTTTATGCCTGTTCCTCAGAGCACAGGCTCTGGCCCTTCCCCCTCCTCAGAGCCCAAGAACAGGACAGGCACCTTCTCCATGGCCTCTTCATCCACCATCTTAAAGGTGCCCTCCTCAGTTAGCTGGTAGGTCGCTGGCGTGTACAGCTCTGGAGCCGAGGGAGAAGGGTGTGGGGAACCGCAAACAGCCTGGAGCTTACCAGACCCTCCCCAACCCCAGCCAGCTCAAGTGTCCCTCGGTGCGGTGGAGACACTGTGGCCACTCCTCGGGCCTGGGCGCCGGCCAGTCCAGGACTCTCGCTGCCTTCTTGCCAGCTTGGACCGCCTGCCTCCCCAGCCCCTGCAGGCCACATCCCCGATCACAGGCCTACCATAGGGGATGAAGGGCCGATCACTGGGCGGATGCAGCAAGAAGTGCTTCTCTCCTGAGACCACACAGTAGAGATTCTCATAGTGGTCCTTGTGCACTGCCAACAGAAATCAGGCCCAGTGGCCGGGGGTGAGGGACAGGGACACAGGACAGAGCAAACCATCATGCTCAGAGCCCCATGCTACAGGACTGCCTGTGACAAAAAAAGAAGAGCACAGAAAGTCAGCAGGCTCGAGGAGATGCCAAGGACTCTGACAGACATTCCAGAACTCTGCCCTCCAGGGACTTGATGCTCAGCAGGCCCTGGGCTCACCTCTACCAAGAGGGAACTGAAGCCAACAGGGTTCTCCTAAGTTCACCGCCGATCTAGCGGGCCTTTGGAGAGCCGTCTAGGGATCTAGAAGAAACAGCGCCACCCCACCCCCAATGCCACAGGTCCCTTCCCTGACCTGAGCTGTCAGAAAAGACCCTCTGTGGTGCCTGGGTCCCAGAGCCCAAAATAAATCGTAAAAAACAGTCCACCCAACCTCTATCCAGGTCCAGCCTCCCACTTCCGGCCTCATCTTCCTTCCCTCTGCCCCCCTCCTGCTCCTTCCCCACCTCTGTAGTCCCCTGGCACCTACAAGATGTCACTGCGGCCGCCTCTCCCAGCCAGAAGTTCACAGCATCAGGCATCTTTCCTGCTGGGCAGAAGGCAAGTTAGGAAGGCCAGGCTGGGGCCAGCCGCCATACAGTGATACCAGGCATCTCAAGAAGAGTCAGGGAGAAGAGGCAGAGGTTGGGAAGGCATGGGGAAGGGGCCTCCCTCCCCTGAGGTAGAAGGAAGTTCACCTGTTATTAAGTCAAGGCCTGGGAACGTCTTTAGTGAGCCGCACTTGACACTAGCGGACGAGGGTGCGAACCACATCACCACCAAAGGGACAGAGTGAGCAAACAGGCTGACTAACCCCTTCTTTCCCACATTGTTCCTGCCCAGCCAGGGGCCAGCACCCACCTCCCACCCCCACTCCTCCCTTGCCCCTGCCTCTGCTCACCCAGGGCCTCAGAGGCCCAGGGTACATGGGGCTCCAGATCAGGAAGCAGCTGGGGCAGCTCAGTGGGCAGGTTGGAGCACTGCTTCTGCACATAGAGGACTCCCGGGTGTTGGGCCTGGCCCTCCAGAACATCCAGCACACGGCTCAGGGGCAGGCGGCACTCTGCAGGCATCACGAAGCGGTCCCCTCGCACGGCATCCGCATAACCATCTGGGGTCACGGCCACGCTCACCTCGGCGGCGCCCACTGTAGCTCTAGAGAAATGGACGTGTGGCTCGTGCCCAGATGCTAGTAGCCACGGCCCACGCCCCACCCCAGGGCAGCTCCCACCTGAGGTAGGGGAGGGACCACTTCTGGAGGGCCGGCCAGTGCTGAAGGGCATTGCGGATGATGCAGGGCCTGTTGGGGCAGACCCAGTCCCGGCAGAAGTGGAGCGGAGTGGGGGGCTCGTCCAGACAGGGAACAGCAAGAGGCACGCTGAGCTCTGAGGGGACAATGCGGGGTGGGCGCTGAAGCCAGCAGCACCCAGTTCCTGCCCCACTGCCTGCATAGGAGATGCCCTCCCTGGGAAGGCCACACTGTGTGCTGGGCAGTGTCCATTGGTGACCAAGGGGTCCTGGACAACCAGAAATAGAAGAATGAGGAGGGAAATTTAAGGCAGAAAGCATAAAGCACACATAACATGCCAGGGTGGGCCCCAAGAGGCCACAGGACCAGAGGCTGTTGCTCAGTCCAGAATCCAGATCCTCTGTGCAGCCAGGTCTGGGCCCTGCACAGTGGACCCTCAGCCTTCCCACCCTGGAGGGACCAACCTCCTAGCACTCCTCAGGAAAGGCAATCAGGGAGGTGGCACTGGGAGTTCCAGGATGAGTAGGGTCGAGGGCCCAAGGCCATGGGCTGGTCTGGGTAGCGTGTGACTAGAAAGCCCCCCACCCCAAGGGTGATAGTTGCTGAGCACCTGGAATGTGCTCAGCACTTGCCTTGGCCAATATGGAGGTACCAGGGATGAACCATTCATCATCTCAGGAAGCTCACAATCCATCTGGGAGACAAACTACCAACGACACCAATGAGGGAAAAGCAAGGGCTGAACTGTGGTTTGGGTCCTTCTGAACGGCATCACCACCCCCAGACACCTAGGGTCACCATGTGCATCTGGGCAGGTTATATAGCATGCCACCTGTCCAGATGTCTATAGTGGCATTGTGCCACCCCTAATAAAAATCTTTTTGGCTCAGCCTTCTCCTTCACTCCTGTCATCCTACTGGCTGTCTCCAATCATCCTACTGGCTGTCTCCTGTCATCCTACTGGCTGTCTCTCAAACCCAACCCCTCTTCTTTCCTCTGCTGGTACCCACATTTACGCTACCATTTTTGGGTCCTCACTCAAATGTCACACTAATGAGGCTTCCTTCCCTGACCACCCTTTTTAAAACTGCAACCTACCCCCTACAATCCTTATACCCCTTTCCTATTTTATTTTTCTCCTTAGTTCTCATCACCATCTAACATGCTATATACTTCACTTATTTAAATTATTGTTCTGTCTCCCTTGCTAGAACATAAGCCCCACGAGGGCAGAAAAGCTTGTAATATTCACTGATGTATCCCCAGGACCTGGAATAGTACCTAGCACACAGTAGGTACTCAGTAAATATCTGCTGAATGGCTGAACAGAAGTCTCCAGCATCCTGGTTGGTCATTGCAGTGAACTACCTGGTTTTTCTGGCTCAATTCCACGCCCTCTCAAAGCATCTATCATCCTGCCCCAGTCATCCTTTGAAAATACAATCTCAGCTGGGCTCAGTGGCTCAGCCTGTCATCCCAGCGCTTTGGGAGGCCGAGGTGAGAGGACTGCCTGAGCCCGCGGGTTCGAGACCCGCCTGGGCCACTTGGCGAGACCTCATCTCTACAATCAGTCAAAAAATCAGCCGGGCGTGGTAGCACCAGCTACTCGGAAGGTTGAGGCGGAAGGATCGCCGGAGCCTGGCAGGTGGAGGCTGCGGTGGCCGGGAGCGGCCGCGGCCCTCCAGCCTGGGCAACAGAGTGAGACTCCCACTCAAAAGAAAAGAAAAAGAAGAAAGAAAATACAGTCTCATCTCATCACACCCCTGGCTTACCACTACTCCTTGCAGAACAGTCTGCCCTGACATGCATCATCAGGCCCAACCTACTTTTCCAGGCTGATTTCCTCTGGTCTCGTGCCTCCCCTTGCCACACAACCTCTATTCGGGTGGTGCTAGACTTTGTTTCTGCTGCTCACTCAAACCGGAATGTCCTCTGCTGGCTTTTATAAAGGGTACAGGGCCTTGCTCTGTCACTTTCATGCTCGGAAGACCTTGACTCCCAGTGAGTGGTTCCTGAGTTCTGCCGCAAATGGCCCAGCACTCATTTTCACCTCCGAAGTCAAGATCCATCATCGCTCATGGCTACATCTCCACCCCGGTCATCTTTGCCTTGCAATCAGTTGTAAAGTTAATATCCTTAGATCAGAAACTAAAACTGAGTAGGAAGACCCCAGTGGGCCAAGGAAACTGGGAAGGAAATAGCTGGCATGTGTGCTTGCTGTCCTGACAAGAGGCAAGATGGAACATGCCAAGTAGATATGGGAGCAAGGAGGAAGGAAAGTGGCAAAGACCTTCCCAGTCATGCCAGCCCAACAAAGCAGTCACCTTGGGAAGAAAGTGACCGGGGGCTCAGTATATCTCTCTGTTGTGCCCACTGGGATTTCTAAAAGATGTGGAAACTGCCACTTTTTACCCTTTGGATTTCTGCAATTACGTATTTGTTTTACTTGCTCACCAATTCCTTTTGTGAATGGCTACTTTTCTCTCCTGGGGTTTCAAAATTTCAAAAGGGAGAACATTTCAAAAGGGATTCTGAGGCAGGCATAGTTAACATAATTTTGAAGTAGTTAGGAAGGTTTTCTTAGGCAGGTCTAATTTAGAACAAGGTAAATGTTCAGGCATTTTTCTTGTCTATACAGGGCTTCCACCGGACCCACCAGGTATATCAGACCTGAACACCCTGCAGGTTGGAATGTGGAACTACCAGTGCAGTAAATCACAAAAACAATACGGAATTACCCAAAACCAATTCCTTTTATGGATGGCTACAAAAACAGACATGGTTTTAAGAAAAGTCCAAATCTAATTAGACAGTAGCTTTCATTATTTAGAAGGTCCTTGTGAACTTAAAAGATTGAGAGGTGGCAATCAAAATTTGTGATCAGATACCTGCAGTCCTCTGCTTTTAGCTCATGGTTTGCTTAATCACTGTTATAAAATTAAAGCTTCTTGTTGGCTGGGCACAGTGGCTCAGTCTATAATCCCAGCACTTTGGGAGGCTGAGGCGAGAAGACTGCCTGAGCCCAGGGGTTCGAGACCAGCTTGGGCAACTTGGTGAGACCTCATCTCTACAATAAATCACAAAAACTAGCCAGGTGTGGTGGCGTGCATCTGTAATTCCAGTTACTTGGAAGGCTGAGGTGGAAGGATTGCCTAAGCCCAGCAGGGGTGGCTGTGAGCGTGCCACTGCACTCCAGCCTGGGCAACAAAGAGTGAGACTCCAACTCAAAACAAACAAACAGAAAAGCTTCTGGTCAAAGGCAAGCACATGTCCTTTCTCTTAAGGTACCCATGGTCTCTCTTGAACATGTCTTCTTTCTAATAAGTGATCTTGAACTATGCTTTGGACTCCCTCTGAAATTCTCTTTTCTGGTGAAGTCAAAGAAACTATGGAGCAACTACACCACACCCCACCCAGCATCAGGATCCAAACAATTCCTTTGATCCAACAATTCTTCTGCTAAGAATTTAACCAACAAAACACTCGACAGTGCACAGCTGGCACAACTCTGCTCTTGCACACTGGCTTCTTCACTGTTCCCTGAACACACCTGGCACACTTCCACCTAGGGTTATGCCAGTCCTGCACTTATCTTCTCACTTACTTCTACTATACAATTTACTCATTCAGTGTGCCTATGGTTAATTGTCCACCTCCTCCTTGAAATGTAAGCCCTAGGAGGACAGAGATTTGTTTTGTTCAGTGCTGTATCCCAAACACACTGAAGAGAGCCTGGAACATGTAGTGAATAAATGTTTGTTAAATTCGTGCGCAAAGTATCCACCGCAGCATTTTTGAAAACAATAGATTGGAAATGACCTAAATGATTGTTTAGAAGGTCCTTGTGAACTTAAAAGATTGAGAGATGGCAATCAAAATTTGTGATCAGATACCTGCACTATTACACAGCACTAGTACACAGGGTGTGAAAAAGACTGAGGTGGAGGGATGTGGAATGATCTCCAAGATGCATCATACAGGTGTGCTTAGCAGGCTACTACTTGTATAAAAAAGGGAGTACTCAAATGTGTGCATGGATATAAACGGAAGGATGCAAATTGGGGCTGGCAGGGAAGCTTGCTCTATTTACATTACATACCTATTATATATTACATACTCATGTGCCTGTGTGGCTGTTCAGTGGCATGAATCATTAGAAAAATAGAAGGAAAGAACAAAGAAAGGAGGTTTAGGTGAGGAGATTGCCTGAGCCCACAGGTTTGAGACCCTCCTGGGCAACTTGGCGAGACCTCGTCTCTACAATAAATCAAAAAATTAGCCGGGCGTGGTAGCGCGCGCCTGTAGTTCCAGCTACTTGGGAGGCTGAGGCGGAAGGTTCACCTGAGACCAGCAGGTCGAGCAGCTCACTCGCCTGGGCGACAGAGTGAGACTCCAACTCAAAAAAAAAAAAAAAGACTTCAATACGTGAAGGGCAACAGCGGACCCGGACTGTGGGAGACACAAGACATGCCCACGACCACAGTCAAGACTGCACCAGGACGCGGAAATTATGCGAGCAGTCACCCCAGGAAGCCGAGAGGCTGTGCGCCAAGAGGCGGGGGAGGGGAGCCGAGGGCACAGCCACTGGGCTGGTGAGCGGCCGCACCGCAGAACGACCTGAGCCAGTCATGCGCACGAGGTCCCAGCCCCTGCAGTCAGCGGCGTCCGCGGGCCTCGCCTACATCCGGAGATGGCTGCAGACTCTGAGCGAGGCCACTCACCCCTTGCAGCGGCCGGGAACGCGCGCAACTCCCGCCGCACGGCGTCCGAAGCCGC